GTTCCGAACACCTCCATGTGTTGATGAAGAGTTGCTTTTATTTTTGAAATCCCTATTTCCAATGAAATACCCACAGTTTATTAGTTATGTAGTACAAAAGAATTGAACCTTCACTATAGGTTAATGGACTGACACCTATCAGAAAACAGCTACTCCCGTGGCTAATACCACGAAGGGCGTTGGATTATATCCGACAGGTGTCAGCACTGGAATCTTCACAGACACCTGTTGGACACTAATACTGTTGGCCAGTGTGGGTCTGAACAAATTGTTTTTTTAGTTCATTTGTCTTCAATGAACAATATGTGAACAAACATTACTGTAGTTGTATCCCAACACCAGGGGATTAAGAGGATTAAGAGGAAGATAATCAATTGGTGATTGAAACAGGTTTCAAGGTGTTAAAAATAACAGCTTGATATTGGGATAGAACTCCAGTAATATTCATTGCTACACCAAAGTTTCCGAACAGTGCTTTACAAATATCTGTCGAATAATCTCAAAATTTAAGCAACTGTCGATGACTGTGCCAAATAAAAGCTTCGTCTGATTGAAACCGTTACTCATTATGCACATAGCATAAAAGAAAATTCCAATCGAAAATACAAACGTGCATTGAAAAAGGGGGAAACATTGGGGAAACAAGTTACTGTAGGCCAACTAATAAAAGCATTGAACAATGTGAAGTCTACCGTCAAGAAGAAGACTGACGTAAAAGTGACGGAAAACAGGAAAATAAAACTACAACCGTGGGAAAAACATTCTTGGAGTTGATAGAAGATGATAACCTAGTATTCCATAAAATCCCGGGTAATATTTCAGTTGGCACAAGTAGAAAAAGTGAAAAAATTGTGTCGAATCATGAAGCAGATGAAACTAAAGACCTGTCCACACCGCAGTTGCAAAGGATTGTTTTGTTGCAACAATACAAACTGAATAAGATCAAACTGGAGAAGGAAACTATATTGTTGGAAACCATGAAGAAGCAAACCGTTAAAAAGTCTACTCAAACTGATGTAACTGTTGATGATTGCCATACTCTATTCACATTGTAATTATTTGTAAGATACATCAGTTGTATTTTCCTTTGGATTCTAATAATGTAAGATTATTAGGATTATAATTCTTACCATTGTAATCAAACTTGTAATTTGAAATAATTCAGTAATGGTGTGAATAAAAACTAGTGTATAAAATAAAATTCTTCCTCTTAAAGATGATCAATTGGTGATCGAAACACATGTCGAAGTGTTAAAGTAACGGTTTGGTGGTTGGGAAAAAACTCCAGTAATATTCATTATTAACTTTATTTAATTAACTGTGTTCAATAAAAAATATGTCGTATTTTATCATGAATACGGAACGAATGTTAGACTAGAAAAATTTCATTGGTCTCGATATTTGCTCGCTTTCATACTGCACGGGCGAGCCTGTGTGTCAAAAAATAGATTCGTAGGATTTAATTGTCAACAAGGCCGTTAGCCAGAACTTAACAATCTGTAAAACAATAAAAACATTATCCGACCAACCGAAAATAAATAATGATCCAGACGAAATATTTTTTCGGAACAATGTATTTCATTTAGGAACTTTGCCAACTATTTCTCTCGATAACATAGTGATCTGTATAGTAACGACTGACTTTTAATCGGAGTGACTTAACTAGTTTCTTATATCGAATCCAACTGAAATGTATGTGCAAACATTTTTGAGTGAAGCATCAATCACTTTACTAATAATAATGTCAGTCTGTTCGACTCGGTAATAAACAGAAACCCATTGTTTGACACACACGATTAGAGAAACATTAGTTTTGTTACTTTTATTTGTGGTTCTCGTTATTTACATCCAGAAGTCACTCTTCAAGATATAAATTTTTAATAAAATTTCAAAACAAACTGGAAGAATGAATAAACCCTCTCAAAACAACTAATTTCATAAAAACATACATTATTTTTTGAACGGGTCAACTAAAAAAATTGAAATTCGGGATAATGAAATTGACAGATGAAAATTTCAAGATGGCGACTGAACGCCATCTGGAAAAGAATTAAATGGAAATAGGGGTGACACAATCTTTTTGAAGTCCTTGACGAATACTTCACAACCCTAGAATATGGAGTCAATATCTTCACCTACTACAAAATGGCGGAACATTTAATAATTTCCTGAAGATGAACACATTAATGTCGATATTTCTGGAAATATTCCTTTTTATCTGCCATATGGCAATTCCAACAACCCGATAAGGTTTGTTATTGTTTATAAAAACGACAAAAAATTTCAGTACGACATTGAACCTTATTGTTCAGTTAGAATATCCTCATTTAGTTTTCGGTTTCAATGTAGAAAGGTACCACGTCAACAATCTCTTAAATGATCAATTCTCGTCCATTGAAAGAAAAAATTGAAGCGATTTTTTTTACGGTGCGACACGTAACTTTCACGAGACCAAAATAATTTTCAATGAACGTTTTCCGAATCGTCCTATCTTTGGAAAATATTTGAGGGAACTTGTATCCAAATTCACAACTACCGGTAGAGGACATAACAAAAAGCCCCCAGGTCATCCGTCCATTCCGGAAGAACAGCAAGTGCAAATAATTGGTGAGATGGTAGTCAATCCCGAACAGTCTACTTATACCGTCGCGAATGTTTGTGAGGTGTCTCCTTCTACTGTGTGGAGACTTTTGAAGAGGAATAGGTATCATACACTGAAAACCTCAGCCGCGAAAGTCTAAGCAGGAAGAAATTCCAAAAATCCATGGCTTTCAAACCCGAAAAATAAGGACACTGAAAACCTCAGCCGCGTAGGTGTGAGCAGGAAGAAATTCCAAAAATCCACGGCTTTCAAACCTCAAAACCTCAGCCGAAAAATAATGACACTGAAATTCGAGTCAAATTTATTTGTTTAACTGAATTGTTTTGAGCCATTTCGTTAGCGCAAATCGGTTCAAATCATACGTCTTTGGAATACCTCACGTTTTAGCATAAAACTCAAGTAAACTGAATATTCAATGGTGTCCTATTTTTCATCTGAAACGTTGCACGTGTTCGCATCGTATTTAAAACATAATCCCATGGGGCCCCTGTGTTCAATTAGGGCATGTTCTAATTTTGAATGAAAAGAGGGAATGCGACTATTTTTACCCATTTTATCTTTTGATCGTGCCATTTCCAGGATGTCGTTTTATTACGAGAGAAAAACGACGACGTTTGCACTTATTACCTGCCTGTGAAAACTGAAAATTCCAGAGAGACTCAATAAATGTTCGGCTGGAAAGTTTATAGGCTAATTTGAAAAAAAATTGATGAAATTGTATTTAGCCTCAAAACAGGCATCAGTTTCAAAGATTACCTCTTCATTGGCGGTGAATTTCTGTCCAGCGGGCATTCTCTTGAAGTCTGAGAATAGAAAAAAGTCGATGGGGGCCAGGTCTGGAGAATTCGTTGGATGGAACTCGTTCGGTGCATTGTCTTGATGCAACAGCAGTTTCTTTTTCTTCAAATGGGGCAGTTTTTTTCGCNCTGTGCATTATCTTGATGCAACAGCAGTTTCTTTTTCTTCAAATGGGGCAGTTTTTTTCGCGAATACACCATTCAAACTCTCCAATAACTCTATGTGATTAGTCGCTGTTGATAGTTTTTCGATTTTCAAGATAGTCGATGAATATTATAATATGCGCATCCCAAAATACTAATACCATAACCTTTCCAATCGACTGTTGCGACTTTTCATGGTATGGAGTGCACTAAGATGACGATCGATTTGATTCTGGTATAAAATAATGAGGCCATGTTTCATCTATTGTCATACATCGACGCATGAATTGGGGTTTTTTTATGGTGGAACAGCCTCAAACACTGCTCAGAATCATCACTTCACTAAAAATGTTCTATCACACAAACTAATAGTCCGATAGCTGTGAAATTTGTACACGCGTCTTTTGAAGGTTAGGGTTAACTAAGAATCAGGTGGATTCGAAACTAGTAGCGCCATCTGTTTGTTAGTCTACGGTCTTTTCAGCCCATCTAGTATATATTTTTAATTCATCTTAGCGACTGGAGAAATGTGCGGTAAAATAGATTAACAGGGTCTCTCAGTCAAAAAATCAAAAATCAAACTCTGCTTTACTTTGCCAAGCTTTAGCTTCTAATGTGACGCTTCTTCAGGGCAGTAAAAATGAGCGAAAAACAATAGATTGAACATTCAATTGACGAGAAAGTTGTACATGTGTAGGAAAAACCCACAAAAAAAATCCTATACATGTACAACTTTAATTGCATATGTTCAATGTATAAACGAGTTCACTTTGCTATTTTATTGCCGACCAAAATGTGTTCGATAGTATTTTATTCAACAAGCAAGAAATGTGGATTTTACTCGTGAGAATGAATATGAGCGAGTGGAGAACTATATTTTTTCTGTGACTATTATATCAGGAATATTTTAAGAAGCAACTTGAAACATCTTTGGAAACGGTCACATAGTTGACGCTTTATTCAATAATGCTAAAAAATATGTCGGAATATGTTTTAATTTTGTTCCATCATGCATGTTTTGAGAGTCAACTTGTACACAATTTGTGTACAAGAGTACACAATTTGTGTACTCTTTCGAAAAGTACCTTTTCGAAAATGTTAGAAACAATATACAGCAAATAATGTATTAAATGGATGTGGGACAAAAATCGGGAAATAGTTACGAATACTTCCTATAAAAATGTACTTTTCTACTTCTTTAGGAAGTACGGAAAAAACCTCAAATATGTAATATATAATTGAGACTGTGTCCAACAAGAATTGACGGCCGGTGTCACGATTAGAGAGAACAAACTCAGGTCTAATGGAACTGCTAGTACGCCTACGTCAACGTTCGGTACTACAAGTTCCGGCCTTCGCGGCCTATCAGCCTGGATTCTGTTCTCTCTCAAATACTTGTTATAATTCATCTAATTTTATGACAGATGAGAAAATGACAAATATATATTTTATTTCAGGTGTGCTAGTTCCAAATGCGGTGGACATTTTGGGAGTAGAACCGAGATATCATCTAAGATCAGGCTACGCTGGGTTACAAGTCAATAGTGATACCGAAGACAAGGTAATTATTGTTAGGTCTCTATGATAGGTAGAATTGAAACCGCACTGTCTCATCTGATGATGCTAACTTGCCTAGCGAAACATGCCCAATCAAATATACCAACTCTTTCAATAAATCAGAATACAACTTTACACTATACTTCGCAATTATGGCATTTTGCGCGCATTTCTTTGGGGTTCGTGATCACGAATGCTTTCTTCTTAGGATCTGGTTTCGATCATATGGCTTGCAGTGAAAGCTGCGGAGAAATACAGAGAACAATCCTTCATCGGTGGTCGATGTCGAACCTTGACTTTTGGTACTCCGTTTTTCTTCATTACGCGTGGATTGAGTCTTTTGTAGAGATATATGTCATCATCGCCATTTTTTCTCATTACCTGGTTTCTTCAACGAATTTGTTACGTCAGTTGCAGCTCAGTTACTGGTGTTAGGGTTCTGGTGATGCTGAATTGTTGTGTTGCGCATCTCTAAGGCAACTTGGCTGAATGCATCATTGGACAACATATATTCAGCTACTTTGAACTTCCTCTTAAACCAGTGTTCCTCAATGTGGATAATCTCAGCTTGGGACCACTTAATGGTATATTTACGATTTACTGGTTTCTCCTCGCTTGTGTTAGGCAATGCAGACTTTCAATGGCCGTTATAGGATTTGCCGTATCCGGTAAATGCAATTCTTGGAATCGCAGTCCGCGTGTGATGTTCTGATGTAGTTGGACCCAATTTTTCTTATCCTTTCCGACAATCCTCTGAAGTAGGGAAGAGCAAGCACTAGTGACGGCTTCTCTTTCTTGAAAGGTTCTTGCTAGAGTCTTGATCATTCCTCTTTTGGCAGATTGATGATGATTGGATCCGTAATTCAGATACTGTCCCGTGTGACTGGGTTTTTAGTACAGAGATGTTCCATACTTAGTGTCGGTCCTCTTCGCCAATACCTTCAAGAATGGCAATTCGTTGTGGACTTCCTTCTCCATTGTGAAGGTAATGAAAGGTCTTACGCTGTTGATGTGCTCCAGAAAGGTGTCTTTCTGCATTTCAATGGTTCCATACCATGAAGATATCGTCAATGAATTTCAACTTCAACTCGGGGCTTCTTGTGTGCTTCTTCAATAGCCACTCCATATTAATGTTGGCTACTACTGGTGGAAGTGGCGATCCCATTGACATTGGCCTCATCTTGCGCAAAGAATTTGTCCTTCAGCTGAAAATAGCAGTTCCGTACGCAGCATCTTAGTAGTTTTAGTAGTTTTCGCGTTCTTTGTCGCATATCCCTATTTTAATGGCTCGTTAGCGGCTTCCTCAAGGGATATAGAGGGTAGACATATCTCAATGATTTTGTGGGTGAATTGCAGTCCTATTTGCTTGAGACGACTATGTTGCTTTCTTTGATGTAGCGACATGTTTGCATTCTTGAAATTATTTTACTGTCAGACATTACTGAACGAACTATAGTATTTAAAAAACTTAACTGGTGGAAAATTGAAAACGTTTCACTTCATTAACGAAGTTAATTACTTTCAATCCTCATAAAATTGAATGTGTTCATTATTTTCAGATCTCCCACTTCCTACACGAATCCACAGACAACATAATTAGGTACAACGATAAACGCATGCCAAACAATAGTAATATTTGCAATAATTCCTTCAGAGATATATGGTTGGACGGCAACGCTGACAGCTATAAACATTTTCAAGAGACATTGGAGAACGTTTTCAGAGAAGTCAACGATATAAAAGGTAAGTGGGAAAGTGTGTTACGGCCATGTTAGATAACGGGTTAAATCAATGTTCCAGCACGTCCGATTCGTTATATTTATTTGATGTCGTCGACAGAAAGAGTTTTGCCGTTCTCGAGGAAAGCAAACTAACGAAGCGAGTTGGTGATATAATATTATATAAACTGATAACTGCAAAATTGACTTTCGCCATCAGACTTCAAATATACATAACACCATCAAAACGCTAGTAATGACATAAGTATAGTTTTCTTCACATCATGTACTGCAGGTGCTTCAGATGATGATGGTGTCAATTAAGAAATAGATAAATGAATAATAGAATGATGAAGGTAGTTTCATGTTTCAACACGGCATTGCTTCTCCATGATATGCCTTGATTGTTCATCAGTATTCAGATCGAAATTTTCCACATCATTGGATTGGAAGAAGAGGAACCATTCGATGACCTCCACAATCACTAGATTTGTGGCTCCATTATTTTTTTGTACGATGATAGGGGATACAAATATTCAGATTCAGAATCTACAGACCACTGAAATACTATTGAATTCCCAAGAATTATTGTTGCTATTGTTGTACCTGCCCCGCTGGGGACCGAATCAGGTTTTTAGAGTTCGGCAGAGCCGTACTCTTACCATCTGACCCGAAAGACCACTCACCATACAAACTTATTTGCTTCGTTAAGAAGCTGGGTTTATTTGGTCGAGTGTGAATAGGTGTGAGCCACAATAAACCCTTGCGGGTTGCGGTGGAGGGTCAAATAGACCCACTCACTTTGGATCTAACCTATCCCATAGTTGAAAATTATTATTCAAGATGATATGTGACTGAATAAAAATGACATTTTGAATTCAGTTGAAAACAAATAAAATGTTCGATCGAGAACTTGGACAGTTCTGTATTTTTGCATCTACTGTTTTTTCCACAACAAAGAAAGCAACCCTATTATTATGAAACGAAGTATTTCAAATAACGAATCATATTTATCTGGTGGATTTGTCTTGAGAGGAAATCGGAGTAACTGCATTGATTATATTATAGGTATTTCATTGATTATCATCGAGATTATACGTTAGACGAGACGCAATATCCTTTTTGTTTTAGTTACAAAAGGTTCCACTTGGGATTATCACTATATTATCATAAAAAATCGTAAAACAATTAATCTGCTTGTTTGCTTGTAGATTATCGACATAGTTCATATTTTAATTATATTTACTTTTGGTATATACCCTGCTTTCCTTGTGTTGTTGAACATTTTCCGTAAATATTATCAATGGTTTTATTATCGCACAATAAGTGAGCTATCGGCAAAGAGTAAACTTAAAATTTAACTCTGTTCTCAACAGTGCTGAATAATAAATTTAAAACAGAATATTTTTTTTAGGAGAGAGGGGTTTTTGTCTGAAAGAAATATGTTTATACGAACGTACTATCTTCGTACTTGTTTTGATGAACATTTAGGTTTGTCTTCTCTCGATTTTAGCTACATAAATTTACGTTGGATCGTCTCTATTCACGAACGTATACTGTTTCCAATACCAATTGGAACAGCACAGAGAAGGAATTCCCGCCTCGATATAGGCGTCGGCATATTATTTTTCAGTGGTAGTTTTTCAGTTACTTATTCTTACAATCATAGCAATTAATCACCCCATGAAAAAGTTATTTCAACTGAATTTTTTCACCATGGGTAATTATGAAAAACTTCCAAATTTAAGGTAGTTGATTTCCGAGTCGAAAACTCTAAAATACAATGAAAAGACAAATAATCACACCGAATTCTCGTCAAACATATATTTACAAAATAATAGAGGCAAACAAAATTGCTAGAAAAATCAAAATTTTTCTTCGCTATATTTGGATTAGGTGGAATCATCATCGGGTAGAATAACGATCGGATTTATGGAACTTTGCACATAATATTTGTTCTCTTCTTTTATAACGTGGGCCACACAGTTCTTCCACACGTCACTATTACCTACTTCATTCACCACTCGCCTTATATTGTCAAGTATACAGCATTCAAAGTCGGTGACTGATTACATTTCCGCAAGCTTTCTTTCATTGTGGCCCAAACTATTTCAACTGGATTAAAGACACAATAGTATGTAGGCAAACGTAAGAGAATATTATCACGTGTTTCACATATCGAATCAATAATATATTCTTTTTTGAAATTACGTTGTTTTATGGTCCCCAGTAATACCTTTTTCGTTGGAATCTTTTCGGGTATTTCCATGTCATGATTTCGCATGAAATCAACAATATCTGCTTTTTTTGTGTTATTGTTTGGTATAACCGAGAATGATACGAAGCGTTATCCATAACAATAACCGAGTTTCGAGGAATATTTGGGAGAAGCTGCTCACTGAACCAGGTTTCGAATAAAGCCGCAGTCATATCTTCGTGGTAATCAGCAGACAAATCTTTTATATTTTTGGCCGACAGAAGCAAAGCGTTAAGTACGAAACCACTTTCATTCCCGGCATGCAAAATCATAACACGTTTTCCCCTTGAAGAAGGTGTGTTCAAAGCACAATACTTGGTTTCGTCTACACAGCCATATTTGACATCATGGGTGTCAAACCAAGTTTTGTCGAGGTAGATTATATGCCTGCTTGATTCTCGGTAGCTTTTCATTCGCCTCAAATATTCTTGTCGGAGTTGAACAACGCGTGTCGATTCCATTATGACCATCCGATTGTTCAATTTTTTATATTTCAAACCACAAGATAACTCGTAGATTTTCTAAAAATTTCTAATTGTAATCGGGATAGTCGAATAATTCATACCAAATCATTTCCCCGGTTGGTACTTTTTTGGTTTGCTGTTTATATACCTAAAGTTTTTTGGTCCGATGTGGACTTTGTTTATGATCCCTAGAAAAAGTTTTCAAAAATCGGTTTGCAAAACCACTCACTACCTCACCTAACCCCACGAACACACGGCACTGATAAAGCAATATTGTGAAAAGGACAAACCCAGCTAGCCGAGCCTTTATTCCTCAACTACATTTGATAGCACGTTTACTAACTATTTGGGCGACTAGGGGCCACAGGCAAGAAATGTTTATGACTGTACTCTTATTTTTATTGCCGTTCCTATTGGGAATGGATAGACTATACTAAATTTCACTGACTTCGGTAAATATTTGTGGCCGATCCAACGTTAGTATTTCCATGAATTTGTCAAATCATTTAGATCTGTGGTAGATACACGTTACTCTGTAAAACTTCGTGAAGATTATATATGTATAATAGAGACTCAGAGATGAGCTTAATCTTCAATGAAATGACAATAGGGATACATCGTTTCACATATTCTTTTTCAATATCATTAAACAAAAAAAGGTCTTGAAAATATTATGCTTATTGAATGACTTAAAAAATAGTACCTAGCTTCAATCACTGCCGTTGTTAGTTGCAGTAACATTTGTGAGAAAAAATTATATTTTGATATATTATTATTTTTCGAATGAAATAATTTCAAAAAAGTCTCCGGATAACAATAAATAAATTATTAGGAAACAATGACAGTGTTGATAACAAAATCAGTTATATTACTATGAATGGAAAAACATTGAAGATCCAGAAGTTATTTGTGGAAATGTAAACTCCCATTTCATCAGCGTTGAAAAAAAATAAAAAAAAAATTATGAAAAAATTATTAAACAATGCTATCTGGGGAAAAGTTTTGAAATGATTTGAAAATTATTTAAAGAACGTACAACAATTTGTGAAAATTGAGGGTAGTAAAAGCTCTACATAATGTATTACTCGTGATGTGCCCCAGGGATCTATACTAGGCCCAACACTTTTTTGATTTACATAAATTCAATATCAAATTTGAAACTGAGGGGGTAGATCAAAATTTAGGCAGATGATACAACCTTACTTAATTTTAGTAAAAATATTGATGTCATACTTGAATATGTTCAAAATGATCTAAGTGTAATATCACTGTGGCTTCAGTTACATAATTTTGATAAATCATCTCATATGTATATTTCCATCCCACTTCCTTTTGATAACAGAATTATTTTCTATGAAACAATTACTAGATTACTTGGTCTTTCTATTGATGAAATTTTAAATTGGAAGATACACATGCAAAAAATAAAAGCTAAAATTATTATTCTTCTATTAGGCATTTTGCACAAAATTAGGATTCATGTCCTTTTCATGTGTTTGAAATATATTAATTTTTCACTTATTTGCTCTAGATTCAATTACGTGATCCTCTTTTGGGGCTCTGCCTCCCAAAATATCCTTTGATATTGATGAAATCCATTTATAAATTATCCCATATGGAACCGACTACTGTACTGTAGTCCGAGTTGAACCGCATCTGTGGTTTTCACCTGTTCGACGTTTCGGCGTCTGCTTTAAAGCCATTTCCAACAACCAATTGAAACTGAAATTACAGATGTTACAATGGGTTCTTGAAAATGGCTCCAGAGCAGAAGATAAAACGTCGACCAAATGAAAACTACAGTCCAATTGGAACTGAACGAAGCAAGAATAAAGTCAGTGATGAGACTTGAGGGTCAGGTAGATTACGACCATATTTTTAATTCTGTTGAAATCCCTAATATTGAAGGAGTAGTTCAAGTTACATTACCCATTTTTTATTTTTCAGAAGACGCCCTAAAAACGAATTGGAACTGCATAATTCCTTCGGACCTGGAGTGCATTCTCTGCAGCAGGTGTCTTCTGGATCCTGTCACTACTGGATGCGGACATACCTTCTGTAGGGGTTGCCTGACTCGAGTTTTGGATCACGGATTGTCGTGCCCTCTATGTATGGCTCCGTTAAACATTCTTGACTACTCCAGGGGCTCCACTGAGGTGCTGCAACAAGCAATACAGTTTCTGATTCCCGAAGATTTCAACGAGAGGATCTCGATCAATATCAAGGAGAGTTTGATTATGGAAACCAGCTCTGATGTAAGTATATATGATGTCTGATTGGGATAGAATCTTTCACTTCGAAACTATAGATGCAATGGTAGAGTTTNATAACATTTCTTGTGTCTCATAATGAGTAATTTGAATCGATAAACTATGAGAGTTTTTTTGGTTTTACATAATTCCTTTTGAATCGTTTAATATTATGAATTGATTTCTGATAAACAGATAATAGTTTTCAATAATTCTGAAGTTATTAACCTGGAAAATATTCCTTGTGAATAATTCATGATATTCACATTCATAATGCTTCTGAGGTAAAAATAAATTTGAATATAATCGAGAATATTTTGAAATGGTGAATTTTTTGTAATATTTCATGACAAATAATAATAATGATAAATGTCATTTATTGGTGAATACCAAAGGGCCATCAACCGAAGTCCTTCAGCCATTTTCTGGGAAAAAACAAAAATCTCATTCATTTCTCAAAGATCAAATTCACCTGTATTCGTTCCTTCAAGCAATGCACAATTTTTCTCAATAAAACTGGCACTAATAGAACATACTCTTCTATGGGCGGAGTCACGATTAAATAGAAAAAAATCCGTGGTCTAGTGGTCCAGCAATGAACTACAATAACTTTAATTTCTTGCAGATTCCGGTTTTCATATGCACAAATGCCTTCCCTGGAGTAGCCTGTCCTTTGTACGTCTACGAACCAAGGTATCGTCTTTTGGCTAGAAGGAGTCTTCTGTCACCAACCAAAAGATTCGCGATGGCCGGTAAAGATTCCAGCGGCGAGAAGTTCGTGCAATATGGTACTGTTTTAGAAGTTAAAGATGCTGTGAATTTGGAAGACGGCAGGTTCATTCTTACAACTGTTGGAGTTCGCAGATTCAAAGTGATCAGCAGAGGGGAACAAGTGAGTATATGAAGTATACTATAAAAAATTGAAATTTGTTATCAGGCTCACTTTCCACTTGCTTTGGAGACACTGTTCACCAAACGATTATAGTGGTTATACTGTAAATGCGCTATCTCTGGTTAGAAATTACTTATGGAACCGAATTCAAAGAGTTATGGTGGACGGTATCAGCTCAGAGACTCTGTCCCTAACTGAAGATGTTCCTCAAGGATCCATCCTTGGCCCTTTACTATTCAGCTTATATATTTGTGACTTCCATCAGTCTGTAGAAAAACGCGACATTAATAATTAAGCAGATGATACTCAACTGTACTTCTCTTTTCAGTTCCATGACATTGATTCCGCTCAAAACCTTATCAATCGTGATCTACAGCCCATCTTTGATATTTCATCAGCTCATAAATTGAAGTTATACTCCAAAAAGTCGGCAGTAATGATCTTTGGACCGAAAAGATTGCGAGATATTGCTGAAAATAGTCTTCATATTCATATAAATGGTGACGTTCTGACTTTCGTAACTGAAGTAAAGTAATTAGACCCTCGTTCAGTGTCGAAAACTATACCGAGTTCATCAGCTGATCGGGCAGCTGCCCTAAAGAGAAATGATCCAATTCCTGCTCTCTCATGATCACGAACCATGCAGAGAAGAGGATCCGAACTGCTGACAACTTTACAGGCTGTATCTCCAGTACCATTCTGTCATGTAGACACTCCAAACTCAAAAGTCCACGGCCTACCTGTTGTCGGGGGAAGTACAACCGTGGAACGGACGATTTGGGATGCAAACTCCTATAGAGATGCATCATTTTTGGGGTCTTTATGCGAGGTTCACTACACCAAACAAATAGAGTAAGATTGGAACTGCAAGCATATTTGTTGCAGCAACTTTGTTCTTCCCCGACTGTTCCGATGACCAGATCTGTCGAAGTTTGTACTGATACTTGCCGCGGAGAGAGTTCTTCACTGCTGGTACCTCTTGTGAGTGGCGTTGTTCCATCCCGAGGTAAGTATACGTCTCTCTGTCATCCAAATGGTGTAGGATGCTTCAATCTACGAGCTGCACATCCTATCCGTAGTCCTCGAATTTTTTTGATGTCTGAGAATAAGAAAAAGTAGCTGGACGCAGATCTGGAAAATACGGTGGATGCGGAAGCAGTTCAAAGCCTAATGAATGCAATTTTGACATCACTTTCATTGATTCTTATCACGGTGCCTTGTCTTGCTGAAAAAGAAGTTTTTTTTCTTCAAATGAGCCTGTTTTTTCACCGTTTAGTCCTTCAAACGCTCCAAAATCGCTGTGTTAGAGTCGCTGTTGATGGTTTTTCCCTTTTCAAGGTAGTTGATGAATATAATACCATGCGCAGCCCAAAATACTGATACCATAACATAGCCAACCGACTATTTTCCAAATACATAACATTAAGATGTTCAATATATATTTTTTATTTAAGGATGGTTATGACACAGCCAAAATCAATTTTATCAAAGACAATGACGTCCCCCCAGAGAAACTGCAAGAGTTGGTATCACTTCATGAAAAAGTGTACAATAAAGCCTCGAAGTGGATACGGTCACTGAAAACCAAAGTGTTGGCCGAAGTGGAGAGACTTATTGGAAGGATGCCCAGAGTTGAGAAGAACTGGCTTGATTTGCCTGATGGGCCTTCGTGGGCATGGTGGTTGATGCCCATTTTACCTCTCAGTTCGCAATTACAAGTAAGTTGAATACTTATACCAGAAGTATGCGTGTATTTGAAAAACTATCTCAATTGGGTCACACTATTCATTTGAAAACATCCTTCAGGTTTTGGAACTTTGTTGGGGATATAAGAATTAAATATTTCCCAGACAGAGTATTTGTTGCCAATGATCCATGAAATATGGGGGGAATTATTACCATCAAAAGTAGGAAAACCGGTTATGTGTGATTTCACATATTTTAATATCTCATTAATGTATATATTTGTAACAGTCAATATTCTGAGATGTTGGAAGATGAGTTTGCAAACTTGTCCTTCTAGTAACTCCTGCTATATACCTTATGGTTCTTTTTTGAATTTTGAGTATTCTGGAACAATCACTAGATGCTCCACAAGCTATAATACCATAGGAAATGTCACAATGAAAGTATGCATGGAAGTACATCAAAAAGAGTGATCTATTTACATTGCAGCGTAGTTGTTGAATACAATAAGATATTGAGGATATCTTTTTACAAATCGTATCAATATGCTTGTTCCATTTGAGATTTTCTGTTATCTTCAGAGTCCAAAGTCAAAAATTTTGTCTCCTCATGTTGTTGAATTGGTCCATTAATTGACGTTACTAGTAAACTATGATCTGGAGTGGTTCTTGAATGATTAAAACGTAAAAGCACAGTTTTTCTTTCTTTTAACAAGATACCATTGTCTGAGAACCACTTTTGGGTTCTTTTTATTTCATCAGATGCTTTATTAACTGTGGCTTTAATATTTTCCTGAGTCATCAATGAAGATGTGTCATCAGCATACATAACGAACTGATCACTATAAAAATAATTTACATATATTATATATAAGAGTGGACCTAATATAGAACCCTGAGGAACCCCGAAGGAACAATTTTTAGATTCTGATTTATTTCTGCTAACCTCTACATAGTATTATCTACCCTCTAAGTAACCTACAAAGCATTTGTGGGTTATTCCCCTGATTCCATACATTTCAAGCTTGGTTAGGAGAATTTTGTGATCTACCATAGTTTTTGCATAACAAAGTCCTGATCTTCCAGTAATGACATTGAATGGATATGTTTTCGTTTTTTTCAGGTGGGATTTCTGAGTACTACCAGTTTGGAGAAGAGGCTAAGAGCAATAGATAAGATGTTGGAACACATGAAGATTCGAATGAAAGCACTAGAAAGGAACACTGTTTCGTGTTCTCACCAAGTTGATCCACTTGATTCCTGTCAGGAAACTGAGCGATCTTTCGAGATGCCATATAATAACAGATAAATTATTTTTTATTTATTAAGACCAATATTTATATCCTTTATTTATTACTTGACACATTTTCTTGACATTTGCAAAATTTTAGAAGCCTGACTGCAAGATGTTGAGATGTAACGACCTCAACCGATTCATTTGGGGGAGGTTGAATATTCACTAATAGGTACTTTCAGTATGTTCTATTTTGATGTAGCGAACGTTTTTATTGAAACTCCCTCAAGTGTTACTTTGATGTGTACCCATGTAATTCGTTCAGTGGTTCATAGGTTGCTCGCCATTTTCCATAAATAGTTTTGTGATCATCCCGGGAAAACTATATTCAAATCTTAGAGAAGTGATTTGTATAAAAATTCTCCTTTTCTAATATATCTCGTACAATCATTTTATCTAGAATATTTTTGTGTGAATATACTGTAGTTTGATAGTATTCAAATTTTATTGAGGAATATAATTCAAATTTTAAATTATTTGTAAATGTGATTTCCTTAGATGAAAGTATATGTGACCAAATATTAATTTATTTTTCTAAGAGCTCTTACTTTATTTCTCTCTTAGGCTAGGTTACATTGATAGATATATTTTTTTATTTTGATAACTGTGGAAGGTTGAAGAGAATTTCAAGAAGTTGGGAATCTCAGAATAAATTATCTCCTCGTTCATTGTGAAAAGAAGATTTTCCCTGTTACAGAGAATCAAATTAGGTAGAATACATACAGTTATCTACATCACAAAGTATTAAACTGCATATATTTCGGGGAAACTCTTCTGCGTTTTCTAGATGTTGATTTCTAAATCCAGATTGATTTTCATCATGTGATATTAAGTTATTAATTTATTATCTTTTGGCTATGAGTTACGTCCCAAAAATTATGAATAAACTTCATCAATTTGTATTTTGTTTTATTTTTATTGCACGAGATAAGCTAAAAGAGAATGCCTTATTTTTGGGAAAGAACGATTTTGGCTCTCTACTTATCTATCTTAATACAAAAAATGTAGGAATTTTCTAAAGAAAGAATGACGTTGACAAGAGATCATGTAAGTGGAATTTTACGTCTTTCATATACTGTATGGTGTAGAAATCCTGTGAAGGATATCTGAATCAATTCTGTAACGAACGTTTGGAGTACAAACTGAATAGAAAAAAAAATTGTTGTATAATTCAATTTTCATATAAAAGTAGTAGTTTCTAAAGTATTTTTTACACGCTTTATATCAACTTCACCTGTATGTATGTACGTTTGTATGTATGTTTGTTTGCTTGTAACTCTCAAACTTGGGATCTGTATCAACAGATTTATCGACATTATTGCTTGATCTATTCGCGGGCAGATAGCGATGTAAGTAACCTTGATATTTCTTGATCTCTTTGCGGGCAGATGGCGATGTACGTAACTATCGAAATTATTGCTTGATCTATCCGCGGGCAGATGGCGCTGTAAGTAACTATCGACATTATTGCTTGATCTATTCGCGGACGGATGGCGCTGATGGCCTTGATAGGTTGTTCAAAAGAAAATCGAAATAAAATATGGATGTTAAGAATTATAGGTGTTAGCGAAATTTTGTACTACAGTTGAAATGTTTAGATATTTAAATATTTTCAATTACCCTTGATTTATTACAGAAAAAAATTTGAATGAAACAGAAGATACACTTTAAAATCTAATTTGATTATTTGAAAGCAAACCAGAATATGGATTTCAACAATGAAAACGTTATCGTAAATTGTACACCTAAAAAATTCAGTTAGTTAGGTGCTTGACATACATATCAAATCAAAAGACTGATTTGAAAAAAATTATTCACTGAAAAATATTCTAAGCCCATTAATATTTTGAATGAAACTTCAAATCAAAACATCAAGACTGAATTGTTTTTTGAAATTATTACTGCAAATTTNAGTTTAAAGTTGGGACATGTGAATTGGATGTGATTTATGTCCATTGACACTATGCGGGCATAGTAAATTCACATCAGTTTCTATTATTGCCAATGTGCAGGAAACTTACCATGGTTCATTTTCATTCGTATAATTTGGGAAGTACAGAATCTTCACATGGTGTATAATCTCCTCATTGAATTTGTGGCTTCATGTCCTATTTAAAAAAGCAAATACCCGGGCTTGTTTTAAAGATGTGTACATATCTCAGAAAAAAATGATTCGTTGTATCGCTGGTGTCTCTTGTACATTTAGTTGCAGACAATTTTTTGAAACTTATCAAATTTTAACGTTGTCGTCTTTGTACATATCTGAAGTGTGTGATTCTGTATTCAATAACTCTTTTAAAACTAATTAGCAAATTCACACTAAAATAATACAAGACAGCGAAATGATTAACATGTGCCATTTTCAAGAACTAATCTTTTGTACAGGTCACCCACTGTGATTGGCAAAAATTGGTCAATAAACTTCCGGCCGAAATTAAATCATATGTAACATTGAAAACATTCAAAATATGTCATCTCAGGAAGTTCCTATTGAAAGGTGACAGCAATTACATGGATATTGGCCCAGACTACTCTCATTCAAATCCTGATCGTTCAAATATCACTTCAAATACAGAAGCTATCAATGTTAAAGATGTTTCTCAGAACAAAGTAAAGAAGATGAACAAAACACTCAAAAACAAAATGACCTCAGGTTTGCATGCTTTTCCGTCAATCATCGTGAAAGATTGTAGTTTGATTCTATATGCAACGCCATGTCATATTTACAAAATGTCATTGAACACCACAACTTTTGTTACGGAAAGTTGAAACTAGCAACGTTTGCCCCGCTCTTGGTGGAATCAAATGTACCAAGTCACTTGAACACCTCCCGTGAAAGTATCTTAAAAATAGAGACAAATCTGCAACCTTTCTTCGATGTTCCAGACTATCAAGTGTCTTCAATCAGGCGAATGACTCTTTTCTGAATGGGATACAGCAGCTTCAGGGTATGCTTAGAGACGGAGTTCCATACATGAGAACAGTACTCCAAAGAAGATCTGATCTGAGCTTTAGTAAGCATCTAACGTTGCTGAGGTGTGTACAGTTTTTTGATTCAGAGCAGTTTTCTGGTTCGGAATAGTGTTCCAAGCTTTTGAGAAACAGATCTGACATGACATGATTGTGCCAAGATATATTGGCACCATTTTAACCTCTAACGAACTTATCAATTTTTTTGTAGTTGAGGGTTACGTTGGCCACATGATGAAATATGTGAACAAACAAAAGTAATGTGACTCTTCAAATCATACTCCCTGAAAATGCAGATCTCTGCAAAAAAAATTCTTACTACTGTCAAACTATGACACCAGATTATTTTTGAAGCTGTGTTGATAAGCTCTTCTAATATGACAAAGGTGCAGTCATTGAAGTACTCAACAATATTGCAGTTGTACACAAGAGCGGAAGCCCCATGCAGGGATTATTACGGTTTAACTATTGCAGAATCATGTGTAAGTTATTATTTTCACTTCCTTTACTTGAAAACCTTGTCATTTGATGAAATTACGAAAACATTCGGAAAGTCACGAAAGATAAATCATATCGAATGTCACTAGTATTCTTATGAAGATATATCAAGATTAAATGAGAACTGGAAGAATATAAGAAAATTCAGAGACACTGAATCAAGCAATGCTACAACTAACATGTGCTTTTTTTTCAATATTCAAAAGTGTACCAGACACTTCATCATTCATTAAATTGGTTCTGAACTAGCTTTGAGGGTACCAAAATCACTGGTATGGAGTCATTATATCCAGAAGAATATGTCAAACATCCAACAAGGGTTCTGTACGAAAGTACAAGGCACAAGATTGTTGGAATGGAAACGCAATAACCCATAAGGCTACAGTTTTTTTCCAGAGTCTTTGGACAAGTCAGGCGGCTACTAAGAATAGCACAAAATATACCAAAAAAAGTTATGAAAGGCGAAGAATATGGTTGATTATCCGACTTTTCAGGAATTCTCAGAAATCATTCAGAAATTAAGGAACGAGCTTCCATTATAATGTTTCGTTTTCCCCGTAGCTTTGACATTAATTGACCACACTGTACAGTTAAACTCAACTTTATTTCACTGCTACGCTGCCAATACAACGAAAAAACATCAACTGAACTTCAGATTAATACTTGAATGTCTATCGTCTCATTAGCTCACTTCGTGCCGCACTTTCAACTAGACCACCCCATCTGCCTATTGGTTGTGCTTATATATCCCAATGGAAGGCTTCGGTAGCGGATAGGGGTATGCATGAAGCGACGCCCTACCTAAAACAATCGAGAAGCACAAGTAGAGTTGAGCGCGACCTTGACCAGTCATAGTCGATTGGCGAACCCCAGCGGTGGACGGCTCAATTTTTTTCAGGGGATAATTTACAACAATAAATTTGAGATGAAAAAAGAAAGCAAGTTATCGGAAAATGTTTTATATAAAAGTTTCAGATATCAGAGTGTTGAGCTTTTCTGAAATATTAGAAGCGTGGCGTATCAAGGTTTTCTTTTAAGGGAATGACATATAGTGTTTCCCATATTCGGATTCCGTCAGAGAAGTGCCTTCAAAAAATATTAAACTGTATGTGTAAGTTATTACTTTCACTTCCTAAACTTGAAAACCTTGTCATCTGATGAAATTATGAACCAAGTGGTTCAGAAGTTGGTCCAAAAATATCGTCTAAAATTGAACCTATTCACCGTCTCAATTTTCAATGAAAAGCCATTTGGAAAGGCAGTTTTTCATTTCAGCGAGAGACTCATTATTATTAATTGATTCAAGCATTATGGTCTCCAATTCACATCTGAAAGTTACCAAATAGGTTTTGTGGATATTGACTTTATGAAGATTATTAACCTGTGGTAGAAATCCATTATATCTGGAAGTGGAGTGCAGTAGATTGACGTAGCATAAAAACTCAAAAGTCGTCTCCACAATTTGATATCACCCTCAGATGTTAGAACGGTAAGACCATCAACCAGTTGATTACATGTTTTTTCAAAATACGTTGAACCCTCCTAAAAGCTGATCTTGTAGAAATGCTTCGTGAATTAAACCGAACGGCTGCATACCCTAGGATCAAGTTGCTGCGGAGGCATTCTCTATCAAACCAAATGTCTACCACAGGTTAACGAATGCTGGTCGAGCAACTTTAGTCAATTTCTACAAGATACTTTTACTTCAAAGGAAGACCACTAATTTAGACTCAACGTATTTAGATGAAACATGAAATCAACTGATTCACCATTCTAATATCTGAGGGTGATAATAAATTGTGGAGACGACTTTGAGTTTTTATGCTACACAAGTGTTCTAATTATTTCAAGAGCATGTTGTATGTCATAACCATATTGTGCCAAAATATGGTTGGCCCCGGTGAAATGAAATAGCACCCAATACTGAACCCTGGGGCACACCGCAGCTACGAGTTCAATCTAGAAATTTTGAGATTAATGCGGCCCTTCTGCGATTCCGTGCAAAACATATTCGATAAGTGGAATTGAAACCTAGCATACAATGAATCATTATATAGAAAATACGGCAGAACCAATTTTTGAGGAATTCATTTTTTCAGATATGTCTCAACGTGTGGAAAGTAACGCACGGTCCACATATATTCCCGAAGCAGAAATTATCCGAACTCGAAGACTTCAAATACGACAAATTCTTGCAAGAAGAAATAAAAAACATTTTTGGGGAGAGTATTCATCAGTATCTCACGGATCTTGCTGAAAGAAAAATTACACTTCATCATTTGCCAACGAAAGTTTTTATAAAAATATTGTCGTATTTAGACACGAATGACGTACTTCGACTATCACGAACTTCGAAAATATTCATGGAGGTCAGTATTAAGGCTGTTTTCAAATGATAAACACTGATAGGCCGATAAATCGGATGTTATTGGAATAGAATATCTTTCAAGAATATAAGGTTAAATGTTCAACTTCGATAGTGAATTTGCTATTTTGAAACAGTAAACAGCCTTTAGTCAGGTTTAGTTTTATGGTTTTCAATTCTACAACAAAAATAAAACCTGAACTGTGTATCATTTTATCTCACAGAACAATTCGTTCAGTCTCAACTTACTACCCACACTATAGTTTAATAGACTGACACCTACTAGAAAACAACTACTTCTCTGGCTAATACCACGAAGGGCATTGGATTATATTCGATAGGTGTCAGCGCAGGACTCTTCACAGAAGTAATTCCTGCATATGCTTTTGGCGATACAACTGCCGGAATCGATTTTCAATTATTGGAACTCACTTGCAGACCGGTTTCGGGCTATTTGGCCACTCATCAGTGGCCAGTGGCTATTTGGCCATCATCAACATAAAGTCGATGATTTGCCATAATCAAAAATCGAATTCGTTTCAGAGTATCCTTCCTCAAACAAGGTTGAAATGAACAACAAACAACATATTTATCATCGCCTCATCTGCCCGTGAACGAGGTAACCAACCGCATATCCGAATCGCCCAATTTCTCACATATTCAGTAGATATATACACTCAAGTGCATTAAAAACGGCCACCTTAGAAAGTGAACAAAATTTGATCTTGAATAACGTTGAATTTCACGAGATCACGTGACGTGTTTAACAAAATCGCAAAAGTAAGCAATCCTGTATGTCCATAATCGTTGCTCTCAGATGGTGTTTTCGACATGCCTCAGAGCCTGTAACTTGGTGGAGTGGTCACTCTGGAAACATCTTAGAATATAAAAATGGATACAATTGCCGTTTTAAGATACATTTTACCTTTTACACTAAGTAATTTGGACGAATCATTTAAAAGTTATCAGGATAAGATTAACTTGGCGCAACACAGTAAGCCATTACGCGTCGCGACTACTGTAAGACAACGGGGGAGGATGCGCGGGTGTAGAGGGGCGATCTGAGCGGTGAAGCGTCATCGCTAGGAACGCGATCCGAACGCGGCAGACGTCGTTGACGGTTGTGTTAGTTTTGCGATTTTTTTAATAACTAACATAATTCAGTCCTCCCCGAAGCTCTTCATTACTTAGTGCAGTTGACTTATTTTTTTAATTACTGTATGTTTAAAGTGAAAATATAAATTACCAGGTGTTGCCCGCTTTTATATGAACGTACAGACTTCATAAATAATTTCTTTAGGGAGAAACTGTTCATTGCTACAATTATTCATCACCCTGTTTATATTTAAATTCATATTGAGAATCTGTTCAGGATCTGTTTTAGTTATGTAATGCGGACGCGGTGTGGCTGACCATATTCAAAAAAGTACTGAAGAGAGGTCCATCTCGAGAAGAAAATAGAATGGCTTTTGACAGTGGTTGGAAGGAAGTTTTGAAGAAACGAATGGCATACATTAAAAAAGCTTTTGCTGAGAATAAACTCAAGAAGACTCCTTCGGTGACCATGAAAAAGAAATTAGTAAATGTAAAATGAATAAAAATTGTTCTCTATTCAGTTTCTGGCTCAAACTCCATTCAGAAAACAATTTACCGTAGTTTTATTTTTTATTTTCGACAACCGTCAAAATGAGAAACTGGTGCGAGCTAGGATTACCGAGTTCTGACATTTCGTTGTGCGATTCCTAGATGGATAGTTTTCGATCAGAAAATTCGGTCTGATAATCTGAGTTGAATCTTATCATTCAGAAATGAAGGAAAGTTATTTAATTTTTAATCCTCTACAACTTTGATTCCACACAGATATCATAAATGATCAAGTCAAAATCGGCGAACAAGTCTAATTTGAAGTTGTTACACGCTTTTCTATAGCATTTCCCGTGCATTCATCAACCTTGACTTTTGAGTCCTTCTGCCTGAGTGATTTCTTGCACCAGGATTGAATGCTCTTCTGGAGCAGGATCTGGAGCAAGTCCTCTGTTTTCCGCTGCTGGTTTTACTGCAAGGCAAATAGATGAAACCCAAACACAAAGCAACTCCAGACAGAAAAATTCTCATCAGAGTTGCTATAGGCTGAACCACGAATTCACTGCTTGTCCCTAAAGGACAAACCTGTTCTTGGGTTCTGGGTGTCAATCAATTGCCCAGCAATGAAAGCTGTCGCTCGTTAGTCGATATCGAAGCTTTTTTTTACTGCGAATTGCCTTGGGGAACTTCGTTAATCTAGAGACCAACCAGCCAAACGGGTAGGGAACATAAATGCCTATATTTTTTTCATTATAGTCCTTGCTGTGTGAGCTTGTCCATGAGGACATGGACGACATGCTTTGAAGATATAACTTCTGGAAGCTCCGCTCTTTAGGAAGTGCCAATGCAGTCCACAACATTACAGATATCCCGGAACATTTTAAAATGTTGTGGAATATTCGAAAATAATCTGAAACGTTCAAGAAGATCCCGGAACACCGCAGATCTTCGTGGAATGATCAAATAGTTGTATTTTATGTTGTGGTAGCTTTTCTATCCCTCATCCGTGAGAAAGAATTCCGTTTTTACCTTCAGGGCGTGCTGGAAGTTTCAGGCTTCAAAAGCACGCCCTGTGCTTTCGTTTCGGGAATTTCATAACATTCAAGAGTGTTCCATAGTATCTCAGAACATCCCAGAATATTCTGGAATGTGGTGGAATGCTTAGGAATAATCTGGAAAGTTCAGGAACATCTTTAAACATCCCAGATGGAATCATCATATGTCATGGTAGTTCTTCATTCGCCATTCATTGGTACGGTTACCGTTTTTACCTGAAATGCATCTGGAGATATAAGAACTGAATATTCCATCCACTATACAGTTCAGGAAATATTACAGAGCATTCAAGGGTATTCGAAGGCATGCCCCAACATTTTAGAATATCCCAGAATAGTTTGGAATGTTGGGGATAGTTTGGAACGTCTAAGATCATCGTGGAACATCTCAGATCATCATGACATATTCCAGAATATGTTCTGGAATATTTTGGACCATTTTGAACTAATCTTACATCAACTCCCCTGTTGAGAAGCTTCAAAGTATATATTGGTGTTGATGACGGAGATTCGATGATAACGAAAAGGATCATCAAATATTTGTAGTTTTCCTTGAACCAGAATTGATATCAGTTTGCATGACAGGCAGATTTCAACATTCCTTAAGAACATCTCTTGAGTAGCTTCAAACTGTATATTGGTGTTGATGAAGGAGATTCGATGATAACGAAAAGGATCAGCAAATATTTGTAGTTTTTCTTGAACCAGAATTGATATCAATTTGCAAACTTGATCAGTTGAGTTTCTCAAGAGTTATTTTGCAATGTTATGAAGATGATGACCAAAACAAATTCATTTCGTAAGCTAAAATCTCATTTGAAAGCGGTGATAACGAGTAGCCGCAATAAGCATTAGGAGAAGAAATAATACAAAACAAGTTTATTTAAAGCCAGCGTGAAATAACTATAAGTCAGTTGTTTGATAAACTTGTAAGTGTATAAACGTTTCCACTCGTCATTTCCAAGATGATGTCCGCACCAAGAAATATCAATTACGCAGATGATAAGAAAAAGAAATTGGCCTCACCGGATAGTAGTCCTCCGGACATTGTAAGTATCTGACAGTTTTAGGAAAGTTTCAGATTGGATCGGTCAATTATTTCTTTTTCTGAAGAATTTGAGGTGATGATGAAATGAAAGGATGGAAATTTACAAAAAATAAATATAGCTTTTCCATGCAATATATGTTCAAAATAACTGAATGAATTAAAATTTTAAATATCCATTTTAGATAGTATAAAATTCGTGCTTGTTTTTTATTCTGAAAAGAAACGTTGTCTTCTGACTTTTTTATTGATGTTTGGTATGGCTTACATTTTAGAAGAAGTCAACTAACAGATGTCGTTTAATATACAAACTAATAAATAGTGTCAGCAACACACCAAAATAAAGAACAACAGTGAGTCAGTCACGTTAGATTTAAACGATGATGCATGTTATATTATATCAAGAAACATTAGGAATGTTCATGAGAATTGAGATTTTTGAATGTTTTCTATCATTAATGCATTATTTGAATCATTTGTCTATTTGTGTCTCACTCAATACTAATAAATGTGGTGAAAAAACTCATGATCTCCAACAAATTGCCAATGAATTCGTCGGATACTTCACGAATGTTAGTCAAAACCTAGTAAATGACATTCTTAAAAGGCAAAATTACAGAAAAAACTATATGAAAAATTGAAAAATAACTTCTTTTATTTCTGACCGGGATATTATAAGCTTATATCGTCATAGTTACGCTATCAATAAAGAGGGTCATAACTCCCTTGGGACATTATAGATTTTATAATTCCCTCTACCTTTCACAAGTAAAAATAAATAGAAATGAAAACTGAACCATATTTTATTTATTCACGTCATTACAAATAATAAATGTACAATTTTGAAATGTTCCCTGAAAATTACTTCCGCCACTGGAAACAATTTCTTCTTTTGTATGGCTGGAGCTTCTGTTCACTACAGTCGAGGTACCTGCCTCTTCTGATGACAAAGTAGACAACATANTACTATAATCAACGGTACCTGATTCAAATATACCGGGAAGGTAATGAATTGGTACATTTTTCCGTTTCAAAAATGAACAAAATTTTATTGAAATCGGTCAGAAATAAAATTATCTATGTACCACGGGAATTAATGAGCCTTAATAACCTCAGGCAATTGCTGTCCCTCGGGCCAGAGGCCCTCGGGACGCAAACTTTGCCATCGGTAATTAAGGCCCTCCTAATTCCCTTGATACATAAATAACTATTTTTCTAGAAGTAACCAACGAATCAGAAATCGAGCGAACCATACCGAGCCTAAAAAATAAAAAATGTCCCGGAATCGACAGCCTCCGAGCAGAAACTATCAAATTGATAGCTATGGAACGAGCAAAACCATAAACTCACCTGATAAACTGGTCCCTCAGTAGTGGAATATGTCCAAGCCCCTTCAAAATTGTTATTATTTCACCACTATTTGAATCTGGAAATAGAACCAATTTGGAGAACTACCGTCCAATATCTGTAATTACAAATTTCGCAAGCAAAAATTTTTGAGACTATCCTGAAATCGCCAATCAGCTCATACCCAAATGAAAATAATACTTTATCCAAAAATCAATACGGTTTTCAACAGAGCAAATCAACTGTAGACGGCATATCAGTTCTCAAGAATCAAATTACTAAATATGTGTGAAAATTAAAGACGCGAAGAGTGATCTACACTGTTGAGTACGGCGTTCCTCAGGGAACCGTTTTGGGTCCGCTACTTTTTAACATCTACCCGAACGATATTGTGTCACTGAATGTGGAAGGTATATCACCTTCCACATTCAGTTTCGCTGACACTGTAATAATTTTTCAATCGGAATCATGGATTTCTCTGAAACAAAAAGCAGAAACAAAATTTCAAAACGATAATTGAATGTATTCCAAAAACACTTTATTGTGAGATTTTCACTGAATTGTTTTACAAAAACGCAACACGTGTTTATTCCTGTTTGGCCAATATACAGTTTTGGACAAGAGCCACAAGTCAGCTTAATGGTTGTGCTGCTGTGCAATGGTTCGCAAGTGAATTATTGAGTATAAATATATCCAAAACATTTTACATTACCTTCACTTCATACGCCAAGAATCTACCAGATTTCAAATCACTTTCAATAAAATACAATACTGCGTTGTTGAAGTCGAAACTACTGACACCTGTATTGCCCGTCAAAGGTTGTTTTTATGTGTGACCTGTATGATGCAATAGATATTTAAATACATTTAATTGTGGTTAAATGTCATAGCAAAATAAGGAAATATAAGACTAATCACAAAAAATATGTGTCCCAATTTGAGTACGTCAATGGTCTGACCTCTGATTCCTTTCAAACAATAATATGATTTCATTTTATTGGACACACATTTCCTAATTCATATCTTGAAATTACACTTCGACCTGATAACGTCCATTATTATCTTATGAGAGTTTTTTAATTATTTTATATCATTGAACTATGAACTGATTTATGATGGAATAATAAGGAAAAACTCTTTCAACGTAGTGTTTTTAACGATTTTCTTCTGGAAGATTGAGAGCTTAGAAATACTATCAATAGAAAAATAATGATATTGCTTTCATCACTGCAGTTGTTGTTGCACTAAACTAACCGCAGTACTGGTTAATTATTCAGATAAACCAAGGTCATCGGGTCAAATGACTTGTTTGAATTGGTTCGCAATATACCTTGTGGATTCTATGTAAACAAACAATATTGATGTTTACTATGGAAATATCCACAATTAGTTACGAAAATACTGATATATTTTCTTTCTGGTCATATGTTCACTCTAAAAATTACAGCACAAGAATACCCGGATCAGTAACCTACTTAGGAAACAAACTCGAGAATCCTCAAGATATTGTTGATGCCTTCAGTATTTTTTTTAGTGAGGTGTATTCAAAATCTGGCCCACTTTTGAACAAAGTTGGTACAGTGAATAATAATGTTCATATTCATTTCTACCCCATTCAAGAAAATGAGGTTATATCTGCAACTGAAAAACTAAAGGACAAACTGACATCAGACCCAGATATGATCCCATCATTTTTGTTAAACGATTGTGCTGGAACATTCCTAGATATTTGGAAATTAGCTAAAGTCCTGTATACAAAAGTGGTGAAGAATCATATATAGAGAATTATAGAGCCATATCTATTTTATGTATGTTTTCCAAAATTTTTGAGATTATTTTATATAATCGCATATATGCTTCTGTTCAACGGCAACTATCTCAACAACAACATGAATTTGGTACTAAGCCTTCTACTGTTACAAATCTAGTCATTATTGCCCAATTTATTTCCGAGGCATTAGATAACAATGACCAAGTTGATACACGGATTTCACTAAAGCATTTGATAAACATAGTAACTTGCTCAATAAACTGATGAGTTTTGTTTTTCGAATACTGTCAGTTGATGCAATCCTATCTGACATGTAGAAAACAATTCGTGTCCTATAACGGTTATAAATCTAGAACATATATAGTTTCTTCTGGTGTGCCTCAGGGCTTCAACCTAGGTCCTCATTTGTTTTTATTGTTTATTGATGACTTATGTAAAAGTTTAGCTTGTGAGCGGTTATGCTTCGCGGATGACTTGAAATTATTTTCTATAATTAAGGTACTAGGTGAATGTGTTAATAAAAAAAATACTTTTTTCAAAAGAAGAAATACATGTAAAGTGAGTTCGAATTATATCAAGGACGTTACGTACAGCGCCATCAGCCCGGGTATAGATCAAGCAATAATGTCGCGCCATCTGCCCGCGAATAGATCAAGCAATAATGTTGATATACATATTAAGGAGGTTACCTACAGTGCCCTTTGCCCGCGAATAGATCAAGCAATAATGTCAATAATTCTGTCAAATATGGATCCCGAGCTTGAGAGTTACAAACAAACATACATACTGGTGAAGCTAATAAAAGCGTGTTAATAATGAATATAAGAAATGAAATACAAATGCTATGAGTACTTCAATTTAGAGTTTCTCATATGCACATTATAATATGTGAATTATTTGTAAATGTTGAGAAAACATTAGTGAATTTTCAAAATTTTGTTAAATACTCGTAATTTTGAACCAAACATGAAGTTGGCAGTTACCTAAGAAAACACAATGATTCCAGGTATATTTACAAATACGATTCAATTTTAGAAAAGTTATCTGATTATATTTTNCAGGAGTCGTCATTATGAAGCTCCAGATACATTTATCCGGTTAAATTGCCTTCTAAAAACAATGGGCCAACAATACGGTCACCAAAAGCTCCAGCCCATACATTTAGTTTTCGTGGATGTTGAGTATGCACGTCATGAAAAATGTGAGAATTTGAATCAGCCCAATAGCGACAATTATGGCGATTAACTGTGTCATTTAGAAAAAAAGAACCTTCATCGCTGAAGCAAATGTTGAGAACAAAATGTGGATTTTCCACCGCTCGTTCACTCACCAACTCGCAAAATTGCAAGCGTCGATCGAAATCATCTTCATTCAGTTCTTGCGTTAAATTTAATCTTGTAAGGATGCATTTTGTGGGATTTTAAAATACGCCGAATGCTAGTTCATGACACCCCGGAAACAAATGCTAACTTTCTTGTGCTCAAAGTATGGTCAAGCTGAACATGGCCCAGAATTGCCACGTGTATCGCCTCATTTGTTACTGTTACATTCCCTATTAAAATTCCAAGGGTTATTCACCCCTCTGCTCCGGGGTTGAAGTGACGACGCTGTAAATGGGGAAAAAACTGTCTGCCTCCCAATAAAAATCGACCTGTCTGAGCGTTTTTTCGAATTTGCAAGATTAGTACCCAAAACCTCCATGTCAAGTTTTCGATAGCCCACCCTATATAAAGCACCTGTGTTATTTCAGTACCTTGAAATTTGCTTCGCATATTTGTTGATGATTGGATGGCTTGGAGGTTATACTTTATAGTCAAGAATGGGAGTTCACGATTTTGTATCGATGCCATCTGTTACTGATGTATGCAAATCGTGATCTGTTTGGTATAAGTAGAAATATGATTTTTCAAGTAACATGTTTCACTTTACTTTCGGAAATTTTCACGAAATAATTTTCTTCAGAATATATTGGTAGTTTTTACTTTGATGTATTTCATTTCCAGCCAAAGCTCATGCCAGGGGGAAACTACATAAAAATTGGAAAGGATTCTGCACATAGCACCTGTCTCATTTTTGCACCTCCTGCCGAAGAAGTGGGAGTTTTAGCGAAGTACTTGGCCATTTTTGAAAAGCATGGAGTCAATTTACTGCATATCGAATCCAGACCTTCAGCGAAACTGCCCGAAAACTATGAATTTATGGTGGAATGTGCCCCCTTGGGAAATATTGGAGCGGCAATTGAAGACATAAAACATCAGAGTGAATATTTGAATATAATCACACGAGACTATAAAGATAATAAAGGTAAGGTACTTTGAAGAAATTGAGCGCATCAACTGAAGTAATCCTGGTATTTCAGGAACTGTGCCGTGGTTTCCGAGGCGTATAAGAGATTTGGACCGTTTTGCTAATCAAATTTTATCCTACGGCGCCGAACTCGATTCTGATCATCCAGGATTTACTGACCCGGTATACAGGGCCCGACGAAAATACTTTGCTGATATCGCATTCAATTACAGGTAGGTTGGAAATTTGAGTTTTCTTTCAAACAGTTTTCCAACAACATATTAACATACATTTGTTGACCAAGCTATCTCGGCACTTACTGGGAAAATTTATAAGTTACTAGATGAAGGTAAATCTAGTCTTTGCGTGTTCCTGGATTTAGCCAAAGCTTTCGACACGGTAGATCATAAAAAGTTGTTGCAGGTTTTGGAGAATACAGGAATACGGGGGAAAACATTCAGGTTATTCAAAAGCAATAGGAAACAAAAAGTAATGACATATGGACATATGGAATACCCCAAGATAATGTCCTTGGTCCATGAATGTTTTCTACATATTTGAATGATATTTTCTCAATTAAAACAGCTGGTAACATTGTACGCCATTTTATATGCTGCCAATACGTAGGACGAGCTAAAAAGAAAAACAGAAAAAGATCTCATTGAAAAGCAGCGATTGGTTTAAACATAAAAACCAACAATAAACTACGATAAAACTCATTTTATTCCTGGCGATGGAATTATCACATAAACAAGGAAAATTCTAGACACTACTTACCTGAAGATACTATATCGTGCACTGGTTGAGTCGCGTTTACAGTAGGTATGGGATCCTTTTTTGGGGCGCAGTAATATCTGTACATCTGAAAAAACAAGAAGTTCTTTGAAATAAGATATTAAAAATAATTTATAACAAAAAAATACATCCCCAACAATGTTTTATTTGGGAACATTTTTGTAGCTGTTCAATGTTCTGCAATTGTAAAATACTTTTGTAATCTAAATTTCAAACGTCGAATATATGTTTCTACAAGAAAAATCAATTTTATAGTTGAACGGTCTGTTCAAAAACGCATTTGTTTTTGACTTTGTTCCGAATCGAAATACAAAACTTGCTTTTTTCCTGATATCGTCTATTTTTTCACTGCGAATTATATTTTCTATAATTCACAACGATGAGTAACGATAAAGCCCAAGCAAAAATGTGTTATTTTTGGTCACCATTGAAAAATATTACAGGCATGGAGAAAAGTTACCATTCGTCGAATATACTGAAGAGGAAACCGAAACGTGGGGCAAAGTTTTCAGGCAGTTGACAACATTGTATCCAACACATGCATGTAAGGAACATAACCACGTTTTTCCACTCCTAGTGGAAAATTGCGGATACCGAGAAGATAATATTCCTCAGCTGGAGGACATCTCGAATTTTTTGAGAGGTAAGCCATATTACTGATATTCATAATGATGAAGTTGAAATGAAAATGATAGATTTCAATAATTATTTCATGAGTATAATAAGAATAATGATACGTCTTCATTCACCAGCACATAGCAATGACAAATTTCACATGATTTTTTTGTTATAATTTTCACAAATCTTTCCTTTTTTTCAGACTGCACTGGCTTCACCTTGCGACCGGTTGCGGGACTACTTTCCTCCAGAGACTTTTTAGCAGGACTTGCATTTAGGGTCTTTCACTCTACACAGTATATAAGACATCCCAGCAAACCATATTACACGCCTGAACCAGACGTTTGCCACGAATTACTAGGCCATGTCCCTCTATTTGCTGATCCTGACTTTGCCCAATTTTCACAAGAGATAGGCCTTGCCTCACTAGGAGCACCTGATGAATTTATTGAAAAATTAGCTACAGTGAGTATGAAATGCCTATTTTATTGAATTGTCCGTTTTTATGAGTCTATTCAAAACTATAATATCTCAGAGAATATATATTCAATTCAAAATTATCAGTTATCTATGCGCTCGGTTGGAAATAGGTCTGGGGAGTATGGTGGATGAGGCAGAACTTCGACGTTCAATTCGTTTAATTTTCGGACGGTGATTTGTTAAACGTGACAATCTGTTAAGTCTTCCTATCGGGCAGAGTCTTTTTTGGCAGTTTGCTACCAATTTAGAGCCAAAAGCTTCCAACGCCTTTTGACTACCAGAGAATATTTTTATTGACTTGTATATGAGGTTGAATTCTTCCAATCTCTCCCCACACAATTCAATAGCGTGAATTTCTGCTTGAAATAGAGTCGTACAGGTTCCTAGGCAGGTTGATATCTCAGTCCTGGGTCTGCGATTGAAAACACCTGCACCAGAACCGGAAGGTGTTTTTGATCCATCTGTGAACCAACAACTATCTGCTCTTAATATTTCCTTCTCCCGAAGGATCCAGTCCTCACAATGGGACTCTGATGTGATGTTTCGACCTGGTTTATAGTGAATCATACTAGCTGATGATCACCAAACAGAAATACACGATAAATGGTTCAGCTACAATATATAAAGATTTTCATATTCATATATCTAACTAGTACTATGTTGCTGTATCGCTGCTGTTCCAATGTTTTGACAGAATCAGAATCAACGAACTTAGGCGTGTGCAGCGTTATAGAACAGTGCTTTCAAAAAATTGTTCCACAGCGCCATCTAGTGGCGAGTTACAGAAAAATTGATANTAGAACAATTTTTTGAAAGCACTGTTCTATAACGCTGCGCACGTAGGCGCAGCGTTATAGAACAGCGTTGATTCTGATTCTGTTGGAACATTGGAACAGTAGCGATACAGCAACATAGTACTAGTCCAATATAAATTAATTTGGACATGAAATATAATTTTGAGATCCACAACTTGCTGATTTGGTGGAAAAATAGAGGTGGTATAGAGCTGCAAAATAATGCATATTTCTTTATTTATTCAGTTGCCACAACATTTTTTTGTAATACAATTGAAATATTTCAATGTAAATGGTGATAAAAATGAATATAATAAATAATGACGAATATAATCTACGTTGATTGTATCATTATCAAAGAAAACGAATTCCAAACTTGTTGCCATCGAACAATTTCTTTGGGGCGCAGATATTTTCAATATCGAAAGTTTTAATTCGATTTGATAAATCAACAGTCTTGTAAATTCACCGATATCAGAATTAAAATATGTTATCTAGTTCCGGAGATAATCCTTGTGGGAGTTTTGAGTGAATTTTCCTGTGTCGTAATAAAAATATTCATTAACTTATCTTCGTTTCACATGAAACATGATAATGCTGACCGCAATGACATATCATTTCATTATTTATTCTTCAATAACGTTCTGTATCAGTACGTTTCCATTTTCCTTGGATTCGTAAAAAAGTGAATCATAGATGCCCAGTTCAATCAATAGGTCATCAAAATGATAATTAAATTGGTATTAATTGCATCGAACTAATTATTCTGTTGTTGTTCGTATAGTTGCTTTGTTTTCCATTTGAAACTTTTTGTTGTTGAATTTTTTTTCGAAATTCTTGAAGTGGTGTAGTATTTTTCATACCTCATAATTTTTTACAAAAAACAAGATATACTAAAAGTATTTGTTTGATTTTGTCTGTATTTATTCAATACTATCTTTAAACTCTATTTTTCCCCATTGGGGATGGAAATTCCTGATTCCCTTTCCTGAGTTGTTTGAAGGTGATTTGACAATGTTTCATGATGAATTTTACTAGTTCGGACTTCCATTGTCTACTATATGAAATGATTTGAAATCCCTGAAACAACTAAAAATGAAGAATTGAAAATGAGTACCTGAAAATAACAATTATATTAACCAAAATAAACCTGAAATGAAATAATAGTGAAATAAAATACAAGTAAAAATGGAACAATTGAATAAATAAAAATAAAGAAATGAAAAAAGAAAGAAAATAAAAATAAAAAAGTGGAGAGGTTCCAAGTCACGTTAGTTCACGACGTTCCGATTGTTAGTAACTGCGTTGCGTCAAGTTAATCTTATCGTGATAACTTTTAAACGATTCGTCCAAATTACTTAGTGTAAAAGACAAAGTTTATCTATATCAAATACTCAAGACAATTGTATAAATTTTTATAAGAATTTGACAGATATCCTAAGATGGGCATCATGTATATGGTTGCAAAACACTGATGTAGATATATGTTATCGCGGACTTTTATTTATAACTATTAAAGGTAAAGAATCTTACGAAAGAAATGTTATCGGTTCAGATGAAATGGAAACTTTTTAGTCAACTGCTGAATATGAATCTATTCATGCATGCACATCTCTTCATTTTTTATTCCCAGTATTTCTGAGAAGTAGTTTTGTAGGATCGTTCTATAAATTTGAGTCTATCCATAATTAATGTGATATCTTGATCATACCTAAAACTACTCCAAACGATAGATTTCATAATCGAAAAAAACTTCAAAATGCCTCCCTATTAGCCAGAACTGAATACCGGGATCTAATCTTGTGATTCATCTGATACATTTTTTATTTTCAGTGTTTTTGGTTCACCGTAGAGTTTGGTTTGTGTAGAGAAAACGGAAAATTGAAAGCCTACGGAGCGGGACTTCTGTCTAGTTTTGGTGAACTTCAGTATTCTCTTGAAGATAAGGCTGAAATCAGGCCTTTCGATCCACCAAAAACAGCCCTACAGAAATATCCCATCACAGAATTTCAGCCAATATATTATGTTGCAGAAAGCTTTGAAGATGCGAAAGAAAAAATGATGTAAGTAGGTTTACTTTTCATTAGGAGAAAAGATGATGTAGAGGAATCCTTCAACCATGCAAACTTTTACAAAACCGCAACAAGTGTTTCGCTTCACAATTGCATCTTCAGGCGTCACAATTCTGGAGTATAGTGACGCCTGAAGATGCGATTGTATGGCGAAACACGTATCGCGGTTGTGAACTGTCAAGTGAAAATCTCACATTAAAGTGTTTTTTTGAATAATTAAACTTTGTTTCTATTAGGAAATAAAACAACAAGAGCTATTTATTCCGCTTCCTCAACAGTCATATCTGTGATATAAAGAAAATAATAGAAATCTCTGTTTTGATTGGCTTTCGGGTTTTGCCGTGGCCTTCTTTGGTTATAAACTCCAAACGTTTCGACTGCAACTGCGGCAGTCATCTTCAGTATAGTTTTCCTTCTAATAGTAGTGCTACGAGGCTCTTATGGACATTAGAAAACTCAAATCTCACTCATCTGTGATAAACAAGGACCTCCATGCCGGTCTGTTGTAAATCGCCTTCTGTATTTCTCTGCAGCGTTCACCGATGAGGTTTAAGGCATTGCGACACAGCGCTCTCTGCTATTAGATTACGAATATACATATGTTTTTGGGCCCTTGTTGTATCAGGTTGCCTTGCAGTTCAAGCTGCAGATAAACACAGACGGCGATTTCTGGTTCAACAGTCCATATCACAGCTTGACTTTGTAACTTTGTATTTATCTGAGATCACTTGTTCATCTCAGATAAATACGATTTCACCCTATTTACATATATGTATTTGAAAAATTGTATTCCATGTAATAGTTACATTATTAATTAATTTTTTAATTTCATTTCATTTTACAGAAAATACGCAGCAACAATCCCTAAAGGATTTGGTGTGAGGTACAATGCCTACACTCAAAGTATTGAAGTTCTAGACTCGAAACCTCAGATACAGAGGTTGGTTAACAATATCAGTTCTGAAATGGCAATATTGATAGATTCCTTGAAGAAAATGTAACGTACCTTGAAGAAAATGTAACGTACGAGCTGTTTTGATAAATTAGTATTATAAACACCGAGAAAAAAGTCCATTACCATATTGAATTTAATTTAGTTTTAGATTAGTGTAGGCTACGACATATTTTATTGTTATGTATTCTGTGATTTTACTCTAAGCTATGATTCAATAAGTGAATAAAACATTTCTGTATTGAATTGTTTTTTTATGCTTTATTGTCTAAAAACCATAGGCAAATTTTCTTCAGTCACTATACACATAAACACATATATATACACACATACACATACATATAATACACATATACACATATAATAAAAATAAATCTGCACGAATCTGTCTGTTTAAAAAAAATCTGTTTTTCCGTTAACCAGCTGTCACACCCCTACGAACGACAACCCTCATAGGTCGAAACTTGTGCGAGCTAAGGATTAACGAGGTCTTACCTTTTAACGTGTGATTCCTAACACGGGTTGGACGATAGCAAGTGAAGATCGATCGTTCAGACTAGGGCTTGAACCACCGACCAATACGGCAGTCAATTCGAGTGAGTGAACAAATCACCCACGCCGAACCGCTTGGCTACCGACCGACCAATATTGACATACATTAAACAATTTTATCCAAAGACATACAATACATATACTGATACTGAAGAGGGATATTACAAATGAAAAAAATGATATCAGAAAAGTTGAAAATGATGAAAAAGCAGTATAAAATACTCTGTCTATATAATGAGTGATTTTTTTGGTGATATCTTTTTGGCAACACTGTTTTTGACAGATCACGCGTGAATCGTGTCTTGTGTCATTGTCAAACTTGTTCAGTTTGATCTATAATTTAACCATGAATCGACTTACGAATGAACAACGCTTGCATATTATTGAATTTTATTATCAAAATTCATGCTCGGTGAAGAAAGTGCATCGTGTACTTCTTCCAATTTATGGGCAGTTTCGTCGGCCTACTGAGGGAGCTATTCAGAAGCTTGTGACTAAATTTCGAACCCAGTTTACATTATTGGACATCAAACCACCAACACGCATACGTAAAGTGAGGACTGAAGAAAATATTCTGGCTGTATCTGTCAGTGTTCGTGATGACCGTGAAATGTCGATTCGCCGCCGTTCGCATCAATTGGGCCTCTGTTACTCCACTACGTGCAAAATTTTGCGAAAGAATTTGGGTGTAAAACCTTACAAGATACAGCTGGTATAAGAATTGAAGCCACACGACCTCCCACAACGTCTAACATTTGGTGAATGGGCGCTGGGAAAGTTGGAGAACGATCCACATTTTTATCGAAAAATTGTGTTCAGGGACGAGGCTCATTTCTGGTTGAATGGGCACGTTAACAAGCAAAATTGCTGCATCTGGAGTAAAGACCAGCCACAAGCATTGCAAGAACTACCGATGTATCCCGAAATAGTCACTGTTTGGTGTAGATTATGGGTCGGTGGCATGATCGGGCCGTACTTCTTCACAGACGACAAAGGCCGGAACGTTACTGTGAATGACGAGCGCTTCCGTGTGATGATTGCCGACTTTTTGTTGCTGAAAATAGAAGAATTGGACATGCCTGACATGTGGTTTCAACAAGACGGTACCACACGGCACGCGAAACAATGGCCCAATTAAGAGCCGCCTTCAGTGAACAGTTTATCTCACGTTTTGGGCCCGTCAATTGGCAACCTAGATCATGTGATTTAACGCCTTTGGATTTCTTGTGGGGTCATGTTAAGGCTCATGTCTATAGGGATAAACCAGCAACGACTGACGCTCTGGAAGCCGATATTGAAGCATTTATACGTGAAATACTGGTCGATATGTTAGAGAGAGTGTGTCAAAATTAGACCTTGCGCATGAGCCATCTGAAGCGGAGACGCGGACAACATTTGCAAGAAATCATCTTCAAACATTACATCATACTGATCATTCTATTGATTCCAATAAAGATTTCATAAATTTTTTCAAAGTTTNAAAAAATAATTATTGTACTAGTAGAAGTCTTCTAAACTGTAATAGGGTCTAACACATGATAAATCTTTTGGTCAGGTGGATGAATAAACATCTTAAGGCCGTTATAATGTAAGGACAGAGTAGGGGTTGGCTTCTTTTAGAATGTGTGAATTACGATGTGAATTTGAAATATTTAAATAGTTTGGATTTTCTAGAAGATTCACAAATGAACAAAGAATTACATAACAATCCCCCTTGTTTGAATACACAAGTACAATTGAATAGATCGTATATTTCTTTACATAGACGACTAATTAACCAATTGAAAATCAACATTTCTCAAAATCCTACTTGAATAGTTCTTTGCTCACCTTGGAAAATTCTTACGTATTGTGGTTACTACATATGTCATTTGTCAAACTAAATATGTTCTACTTATAATTAATGATGACCTTACGTCTATGTAAAATTTTCACTCCCTTTCCTGCTCGTACTCATCATTGAGCACGCTGGAAATGATTCTATGATTTTTAAACAATATATTAATATGTTGAACCCAAAAGAGTATTTATTGTAAAGTTCATGTTCACGTCTACTTAGAGCAGTGTTATACTAAAGTTTTGTACTTTGGTTTTAGAGGATCTTCTTGTAACGGGTATTTTTTTGAGCGGCATAGAATTTGATTCTCAAAGCAACACAAAAAATTTGAAAAAATTGATGAAATCTTTATTAGAATCGATGGAACGATCAATATAATTGAATGTTTGAAGACGATTTCATGCAAATGTTGTCCGCGACTCCGCTTCTGATGGCCCATGTGCAAGGTCCAATTTTGGCACACCCTCTCTAACATATCGACCGGTATTTCACGTATAAATGCTTCAATAATGGCTTCCAGAGCGTCAGTCGTTGCTGGTTTATCCCTGTAGACATGAGCCTTAACATGACCTCACAAGAAATAATCCAAAGGCGTTAAATCACACGATCTAGACGGCCAATTGACGGGCGCCAAATGTGAGATAAACTGATCACGATTCACGCGTGATCTGTCAAAAACAGTGTTTTACGCCATCATCAGGGCAGGTATCGCACTGATGATGGCGTAAAAATCATTATTACATGAAATACGAATAACAGTCTTTTTTTAACGCAGTTCTCAAATTAGACAAATAGAGTTTCTTTTATAAAATTAGAATAACAGTGAAATTGAAAATGATCAATGGAAATCCAAGCTGAAAAAATTTCAGAATTATATTCCTTTGGGTGCCACACAATTTCAATAAATGAGCCTCAGGGTACACCTCCAATAAATGAACAATATTTTGAATTTCTCATCAAACTAATATTACCAAGTGTTCTGGCCATGTCTTCAATTTATTGGAGCCTCTGGAGACACCCTATATTTTGTTTTACGAAAGATAGGACATTGGAAAATGTAGATGATGTGGTGCTGCAGGTTTTTCTGGGTTTTCCTGCAGCTGAAAAAGCAAATGCGCCACTCGAATCAATCAATTCGTGCCGGAGCGCCAATTAATTTTGTTTTTTCATAATTTCATGATTTGTATTACTTTCTTCTTCAGTATAATTGTTTAATATCAATATCAATTCGAATGATTGGTTTCACCCATTCAGATTAGTGTCGTAGTTGAGCTTTGTCCAAAGGGAATTCCATGGTTCGATTTGCACCGGACAAACCGCTGACGCAACTTCTCGAGAATTTCATTTTCGTTTCAAAAATTATGGAGGGGGGTTGATGACGGATATATTTCATCTGTTTATAAAGTAAAACATAACAAGCCTATGACTATTGAAATACTATTTCTTGTTTTGTTCACTAGTTGAAGTGTGGTGTTGTGAAAACAAGTTTACTAAAGCATGCATGGAATTGAAGTTGACGGTTTTTCTAATGGAATTATAGAAAAGGTACGTCTCAAATACTGTAAATTCGATTCAAACTTGTATTTTAAAAAAAGAATTGAATTGACTCGCAGGTCATAATTTTTAACAAGTTGGAAAGTTGGAAAAATGTTTGATCATTTTAAAGGGAAGTTTTCTCAAACGTGGGAGATTGTTACAGTAAAAAAATGTTCGATTGATGGAAATGTATGAAAACCATCCGATCTACTCGTGTCACAGTTTTTTCCTTGAAAAAAAGGTTTATTTACCAGAAAGTTGAAAGTTACTCCTTTGATCTTTCAGATTCATAATCCTATTTGATACGGCGGGGTTGTTTTCATGTTGTCACAATATAATCATGTGAAATGGCCATTTCATAACACAAAAATATATTTCCCAATTGCCTTCACATTTCACAACTTTGATCGAAGAACTTTTTGTTGATATATGAATGTTGAAATAGAATTCCAACAGCGTATTTTGAGTTTGGCGATAAATGTGTTGAAATTTTGACGTAAAGAATGATTGTACAAACAAATACTCAGTCACCGTACTGAATATGAATTAACAGAAACTACGAATATTTTTATAAATTATTGCAGTATGAAAAAACTACGACCATCTTCATACAAATTACAAATGGAATGAATAAATTATGTCAATTGATATCCGTGTTCAGAAATATCTTGGAACAATTCATCAGGGTTGTAATCCCTGAGCTTTGAGCTTTCGAATGTATAGCAGATGCTTTCAATACATCATTACACAACATGATGCACATTGCAAAACATGATGGTGCATGTACTAATATTTACTTCAATTATTCTGATAGAATAAAGAATAAACAGATTAATTTAATCTTGTTTATCCTGCTCTGTACTCGAAAAATATTCATTATTGTGAATTTACATCTCTTCCCTATTCGAACATTGAAAAACTGATAAAATTGATTAACATTTGCCATAACACATACATTGCCAGATCCTACACAATAGGATCTGGCAATGTATTTAATTTTTCTACATAGTAGGATCTGGCGAATCTGGCTATTTATTTATCCTGCACAGTAGAGTCTGGAAAATGTATTTATTTATCCTACACAGTAGGATCTGGGAAATGTAGTTATTCATTCTACACAGCAGGATCTGGCGAATGTTTTCATTTATTCTACACAGTAGGATCGGGCCAATTTATTTATTTTTTCTACACATCAGAATCTCACGAATGTATTCATTTATCATACACAGTATGATCGGGCAAATGTATTCATTTATCCTGCTCAGAAGAATCTGACGAATTGATCATTATCTCTAATTTTGACCCCCGCTTTGAGCTTCTTCACAATAGGGAAGTGACACTACTTTATTGTAGGTGAAGTAGATCCTATCCAGATCCTACACAGTAGAATCTGTCGAATGCATTGATTTATCCTACACGGTAGGATCGGGCAAATGTATTTATGTATCCTTCACAGTAGAATCTGGCGAATCAACCATTTTCTCTAATTATGAGCCACGTGCGGGCTTTTTTACAATATGGAAGTGATACTGCAGATCCTTTCCAGATCCTACACAGTAGGATCTTCCTACACAGTATGATCTGGCAACTGTATTCATTCATTCTACACAGCAGGATCTAGCAAATTTATTTATTCATCCTGCATAGTAGGATCTGGCAAATGTATTTATTTATCCTATACTGTATCACTATATGGAATTGATACCACATTACTGTAGTTGAAACAGATCCTATCCAGATCCTTTACAGTACGATCTGGCAAATGTATTCAAATATTATACACAGCAAAATCTGGAAAATATATTTATTTATCCTGGTAAATGTATTCATATGTTCTACATAGTAGGATCTGGTAAATATATTCATTTATCCTACACAGTAGGGTCTGCCTTGGGGCTTTTCCAATATATGGAACTGATACTAATTTACTGTAGATGAAACAGGTCTTATCTTAGATGAAGGTTTCGTTTTTACGGTAGGTCAGTTGGATTGCAGAAACACTACTACTTTGATAAGAAAATGTCCTGCACTAGGTAGGCGTTATACTTCGAAATAGAGCTATAGGTGAACTAAAAGCATCTTCAAGATGCTTTCTGTGAAGAAATTGAGGAAACTTGCACAAATATCTGTAGGATACGATTCAATGTCCATCACGGTATTAGTCGAGGAAATAGTTGTTTTCCGGCACGCGTTTATCAGATCCTACTTTATAGGATCATTGGGGGAGGCTAATATTCAGGATTTTATTTCCAAATATACATTTTAGAATCATTAGACATACTTTTGATTTCTGATTAAATTGAAATTTTAAGATGCTTCGTTTTATTGTAGACAAAAACTATGAGGCTCGAAAATGATTCTGCAGGCGGTACGTGTTTGGTATTCGCCCCACCCGCTGAAGAAGTTGGGGTTCTGGCAAAGTATTTAGCTGTTTTCGAAAAGTATGGAGTTAATTTGTCACATATCGAGTCCAGACCTTCAACAAGAATGCCCGAAAATTACGAGTTTATGGTAGAATGTAAACCTTCAGGAAACATTGCAGGGGCCATCAATGATATCAAAAACAAAAGTGAATATTTGAAAATAATTTCCCGAGATTACAAAGATAATAAAGGTGAGTAAAACTAGATTACGTTTTTCTTAACAATTGCAAGATACACAGACACACACACATATTGAATTTGATGCACTATAATTCCATTCAATAGTACTGCAATAGTGATATACACAATAGTGTATAAAGAAATAAGTGGAAATTTTCAATTCAATAGGAATCACTGATAATTTCAGATTCGATCCCCTGGTTTCCAAGACGTATAAGGGATTTGGACTGTTTCGCAAACCAAATTTTGTCTTATGGAGCTGAGCTGGATAGTGACCATCCAGGATTTACTGATCCAGTTTACAGAGCCCGCAGGAAATATTTTGCTGATATAGCTTACCACTACAAGTAAGTTTGTTAAATACAATTAGAGCATGAAGTGGTTTCGAAATGTTGATACAAAGATATGGAAAACTTTTTCGATAGTGGTAATCAATTTCCGAAAGATTCTCTAAGAATATTTTGTAGTTGAAAAACTGTATATGCGACGTCAGATGAATAATGTTAAATGGGACTGTTTTGGGTTGTACTTTATTTGTTTATATGTTTATCATAGTCCAGTAATATAATTATTTTTGAAAAGTGCTTTCACTATTCGTTTATAATAATACTTCATCACAATTTGAAAGTAATATAGACATGGTTATATAAACGAAAATATAACATAATGATCACAAAGTACTATTAATCAGTGACTTATTCATATTGCCATCGAGTTCTATCATACAAGACTATAGAGAATGAAAATAAATTATAAAACAAAATCATTGATCAAAAATTTTGTCTGGCCAGTTGTTATTTTCTTCTTCTCTTTGAAGTTTACCATTCTTCATATCAGTGAATATGACACCGTTACAACAATAGTTTACAATTCTCCCGTGTCTCTCTAGAGTGGTGGAACTGATACTGAAAGATCAGATTTATGGTGTCAATGATAATAACATCATGACATGTCAAATCAGGATTCAGACTCCAGTATAGTATCACGACGGCTCTACTGTCAATTACTGACGATCTTTTAAAACACTCTACTGCTGTAGATGATGATAATTTGACCTATTTAGAACTTCTGGATCAAAGCAAGGCCTTTGACATTCTCGATAATGAGATGACAAACTTGTCTACTTTGATTTTTCCCAGAAATCAGTGTCACTCTTAGGAAAATATCTGAAGAATCGTGATTACAGAGCCGGTAGCAAAGGGAGTGCCACACGGATCTATCCTTGGACCTTGCTTTTCAATTTGTATATTCATGATTTTTATCTGTTTGTGAAAAGATGAGATGCCATCACTATGTGGGTTACACCTCGTGATTTTGCATCTGCTCAGTCATATACTACTAATGATCTTCGAGTCATCTTTGATATTTCTGCAGCCCATAATCTCAAGCTGAATTCCAATAAATCTGTCCGCATCGGAAATGAAATACTTCCCTTCATGACCGAGAAAAAAATTTTGGATTATGGTTTGATCCAGAATTTCGCTATCTGTCAGCATGTCAAAAATTTCTTATTGCGATCCACTACATGGATCTGCTTCAAAAAAATCGAATGCTCTTCGACTACAGCGTAATCAGAATAGCTGCCTACGTGTCTCGTTTGGTATCCGGAAATTTGACTATATATACTCAGCCATGCGAAAATCAGGATGGTTTGAAGTGGAGAAACATAGAACACTCACCAACAAACATAAAGTATTGATATCTCATCAACCTGATTACTTACTGAAGAAATTCAGAACATTCTCAACAATTCATAGTTTCACCACCCGGGACAGTTCAGTTTTAGTAATGTCCAAACACAAATCTACCATCTTCATCCGCTGCTTCTAGTATAATGCACCCAAAATCATAATCGACTACCCTGTGAGTTTCGATTTTATACAATTGAATTCAAAAAATACTAAAGACTCACCTAACTGTCTAGTCTCTTGTCCGTACTCGACTTTGGAAATACATAAAGGGATTTTCTACAGCGTTTCCATCAACTAATTTCTTGAGCTTGTGATCATATTATCACTTGATTTGCCCTGTTATTAAATATTACTGGAGTTTTATCCTAACATCAAACCTACTTTCAATATTTCAGTAATATTCATTACTACACCAACAACAACACCAACCAACAGTAGATTACATACTGAAAGTAGTTGTTTTTCCTTATTTTTTCTTCATTTTAATCTTTTTCTTCAGTCCAATCTTCCTCTTGAAGATGATCACTTGGTGATCGAAACACGTGTCGAGGTGCCAAAATAACGGTTTGGTGTTCGAAAAAACTCCAGTAATATTAATTACTACAGCAAAGCTTCTAAACAGTGCATCACAAGTCTATTTTTTATAACGAATAGATACCTATCATTATTATTATTATAGAATTTATAAAAGACCAAACTGAGTTTCAGTGTTTTTTATAATAGTCATTGCATAATTAAGAAATCTTTCATTTGGAGAACATTGTTTCGGAGAAGTAAACTAGAAGAACATGTCATTGAAGCAAGCAAGGACTTAAATTTGAATTTGTGTTCATTTTGCGGACGCAAAGCTTGCACCCAGTCAAAATTTTGTAGACATTTTTAAACCAAGAATCATAAGTATATGAAGCAATTGTAATTCATCGTACAGGAATTTCAAAGTTACTCCATCATTTCAGACATGGCCAGAAGATACCTTACGTCGACTACACCGAAGAAGAAATCGAGACATGGGGCCAAGTCTTCAGGCAACTGACCAACTTGTATCCAACCCATGCTTGTAAAGAATATAACCACGCCTTTCCGCTCCTGGTGGAAAACTGCGGTTTCAAAGAAGACAATATTCCACAGTTAGAGGATATTTCTAATTTCCTGAAAGGTGAGTCAGACTGCGGAGAGTCAGTGAAGCATTTATTCATTTGCTTTATGATGAAATTGACTGTTTCTTAATGGACATCTATGTTAGACGTAGCTGGGGTTACTTTGGCTTCCACTCTCCTGGTGGTATGGCCCGCTCGAATTCTCCTTCCTGTTCCATTCCCTTTGAAGGCAATTTTCTGGTCGTTGCGTTCTTCAGGAAGACTCATAGGTTCACAGATGAGTCATCTTCAGTCTTATCTTCCTTTTCACACATCCTGCATAGAGGTGTGTTACTAGCTCCATAAAACTAGTGATGAGTTAGAAATTAAATGTGGAATTCCCCAGGGCACACTGTTGGGCCCATTATTATTCAACCTTTATATAAATGATATATTTAAAATAAATAACGTGGGTACCATAATAGGATATGCGGATGATACCGCCATATTTTATGAAGCGGACAGTTGGCACGAATTGAAAGAAAAGATAGAGGCAGATTTTCAACTATTGAAACTGTGGCTTGATAACAAACTCATGACTGTACCTAAATGTGGAGAAAACGAATTTTCTTCCTTTCAGTTGCAATGCATCTAATGCCTGTCCTTATGACAACCTCAACACAAAACCATACAATAACAATTCAGTCTGTTAAACAATCGAAATACTTAGGCGTATACAGGGTGTCCCTGGACTTCCTCTTTTCCTCTCGGGAATGTATAGATGGGGTCAAAATATCACCAGTACTTCATATAACTTTTTTTCCTAAAATCCTTCGTTACCAAGTAACGGGCCCTCGAAGTTACAAAATGAAAAATGTTTTTCTTTGATAACTTTTCAAGTGAATATTGAAAATCATCCAAATTTTGGTAATTGACTAAACAAATGAATTCCTTCGATGAGCTTTCATGCAGGAATCAGTTGTTTTGCTACAAAGTCAGGAACGGACTACCCCCGATGGTCCACACCCCAAAACTTTGAAATGACAGATATTTTTCAATATTTTTCAACAAATTAAGGTTACTTGGACAATTTTATAAATAAAAGTACTCGTGTGGAAAGTCGATCGGAGCAACGAGTCTTGATAAAAATGTAATTTCACTCGACGACATCAAACCCGCTCGTCCACCATTATTTGAAATGAATAATTATCAAAGCAGAAATAATAATGATAACGTTAATTCAACAACATTTATCCTGAGATGTCTACCATTATTCGAAAATATTAGTTTTCAAGGAAAATGGAAATGATAGGTAAAATGTTCATAACGAATTTTTATAATACAAACACGTTTAACTAACGAAACTCAAGAGCCTCAAGAGCAAACAGAAATGAAAAATCCGCTACAGAAACTGCTCGATATGACCACCTTCTCTCTCTATACATTTTCTTAGTCTGCGAAGACACCCTCTCTGTACTTGAAATAGCATTCCAGGGTCGTTTCGTATGGCTTCACAATGTAATGTTATTCTATTCAACAATGCATCTTTTGTGTGAATAGGTGTAGCGTAAACAAGGCTTTTTAGATGCCCCCACAGAAAGAAATCCAATGGATTTAAATCCGGAGACCGCGATGGCCATGAATATGGCCCACCTCTACCAATCCATCTATTGTGGAAAATATGGTTCAGATGGTCACGCACAATCAAACTAAAATGAGGAGGAGCGCCATCATTCATAAACCACATATCTCTTCGGGTTTGCAATGGAACATGTTCCAAAAGTCCATTCAAATCGTTCTGAATGAACTCCAAATAACGTTCTCCATTCAATCGGTCCTGTAGAACGAATGGTCCTATAAGATGGTTTCCTATGATACCAGCCCAAACATTCACGTTGAATTTCCGTTGGTTCATTTGGATGATTTTGGATATTCACTTGAAAAATGAAAAACATTTTTCATTTTGTAACTTCGAGGGCCCCTAACTTGGTTACGAAGACTTTTAGGAAAAAAAGTTATATGAAGTACTGGTGATATTTTGACCCCATCTATACATTCCCGAGAGGAAAAGAGGAAGTCCAGGGACACCCTGTATATTGACACATATCTAAAATGGGATTACTATATCAGATATATTAAAAAAAAACTTCAAACAGTCCTCTACAGATACGGCCCTTGTTGAGAGTCATTTACGATATGGAATAACTGCTTGGGAATCAGCTCTACGTGTACATTTGAAACTTCTGGAAACGTTACAGAAGAGATTCCTCAAACTCATAATGTCACAAAATCGGCGATTTTCAACAGAGCGTTTGTATAAAGAGTGTGGAAACTTGGATGTGCGACAGTTGTTTTCTTTCAATACAAGCGTGAAATACCATTTTAGTTCAAACAAAGCAAAATCTCGTGATCACCCATACTTTACACGTCACTGCGAAAAATTAACATACCCCGTGATACTGAAAAAGTCAATCTCACAAAGAGCTCACTCCTTTATAGCCATTAAACTTTATAATAGCATACCAGAAGATATAAAAAATATTAATTCTCCAGCATTATTAAAAAAAAAATTGAAACATTTTTGTTAACAGCTGGTAGGAAATTTACTCAAAATTTAAAAGAATTGAGACACCATTGCAAAAAGACATTGTCTTTTACCAAAATTTTTATCAATCGTAGCCAAAGTTCATTGTCTTAAATTCAATACTTCTCTTATATTTGTGTGTAATTTTGTTCAGTGCACTGTCTATATTATATTTATGTAGTACTGAATGTATATATGTTCAGTTGATATAAACTAGTCATAGGTATATTTTATTTGAAAGGTGTAAAAAATGTGTAGATTGTTAGATATGTGTAGATTGTTATTTTTATTGCGAAACAAGTGTGTTACACTTATCGCTTTCCTACTTTTTTCACGTTTTCTTTGATGTCTATTTTATATATTGATGTGAATTTAATCATTTTCATTGTAATGTGAATAAAGTCATTATTATTATTGTTTCCTTAGTTGACAGTGGCCAGTCAGAAATCCTACTGTTAAGCGTAGATATTTCCAAGGGTGATCCAGGTAGGATTGCATCCTTTGATTGAGCATGGGTGTAACCTTTGACAGGATAATGTTATTTTCTACCTAGGCTGTGGCTTAATCTTGGTGGCACTTTAGTACTAGCCATGAGGTAACACGTTGTCTGTTCAAGGTTAGTAGGGTTTGTCTGCTGTCAGTGCAGATTGTTATGTTTTTGCCAGAAATTCCTTTTCTGATTATTTCTTTTGTGGTGATTGAGGTAGGTACCAGCCAATTCTGTTTGGACCACGCTGGTATTTCTTCCCATTCCCCACTTAATCCTTAGGCTTAGTGATCTGGGAAGTCATGCTCTCTCAACCAACGTTTTAATTACCCTCCTCTTTTGTTGTGGCTAGGGGTCAGAGTTTTTATATAGGTAGCTGTCTGTATGTGTTGGTTTCCTGTAAACTTTATGGCCTTCACGTCTGTTCACAAGAACATCCAAAAAGGCTATAGGACTAGTGGATAACCTCAGGATATTTCTCAGTTTCTAGTAGTATGCTTCAAAAATTAATGACATTGTCTCCATAGTGGATGAATGTCTCATCAATATTTGTCTAGTTCTATTCAGATCAAAAAAGTACATGTTTAGATACAATTGTTCCATATATGCGAGGTACAAAATTTCGTAAGCAATGCCCTGTCTTCGCTTTCTACGTCTTTGATTTTCACTCACTGTTGATCAGCAGATAAAAACACTATTATTTTCATCACAAGTAACCTTTCGATTACATTGAGTCAGGAAATTGAGAGTACTATCATGATTTGAGGTGGCAACTTATTTCTACCAGAAATACTTGCCCAACCAAATGGAAACATTTCACTATAGAAAATCATGACCATGACCATAAAAATAAGTTTTTCAACAACTTCACGGTATCTTTATATCACATATTTCAATTTTTCAGATTGTACTGGATTCACTATACGCCCAGTTGCAGGACTACTTTCATCCAGGGACTTCTTGGCAGGATTAGCTTTTAGAGTGTTCCATTCCACTCAATATATCAGACATTCCAGCATACCACTTTATACTCCTGAACCAGACGTATGTCACGAGTTACTAGGCCATGTTCCACTTTTTGCCGATCCTGATTTTGCACAGTTTGCCCAAGAAATTGGTCTTGCATCTTTGGGAGCACCCGACGAGTATATTGAGAAATTAGCTACGGTAAGCCATCGCAGCTCAGTTGATCGATAAATATATTTTTTAGTCAGATTTTGAAGTCGACTATGAAGGGGAATCATCTATGTGTATCAGAAAGTGTCTATCCAAAGGCATTAGATTAAGGAGGCGCCTCTGTAGCAAGAGAGTAAGAAAAAGAATAAAGAGATCTCAGTTGGACATCTCCCTAAAATTTGCATTTTTTCTCCGATTTCGAAGAATTTTTTTGAATGGTAGAGCTCGAAAGCTGTACTTTGGAACCAAATATCAAAAAATGTTCAATAATAGTATTTCTGTTGGCGACTCATTAGAATTTTTATTATGAATTAATTCGAGTGTCTGATGGACTGAAAATCTAATCATATAAACGAATGAACATATTCATTCTGATCAATTAATCATTGGACAAATTAAGCAATTTCAAAACAATGTTTATCTTTATTTCTCAGTCAGGCTGAAATTTTGGATGTGGATTTGTTTGACGTTGTAGATGTGCAATAAGAAACGATGTTTCAACTGAGGCGACCCCCCTGGGGATAAAAGGGGCGCGTTCACATATGAAAATGACCTTTTCATCACTATTTCTCCGTACCACTATATTTTCGAAAGCTGAAATTTTGTATGCAGGTTTGTTTTATGTTGTAGGTGGGCAGTAAATAATGATTTTTCAATTTTGCAACTGGGGCGCCCCCCTAGGGATAAAAGAGGCGCGTTTACATATGAAAATGACCTTTTCATCACTATTTCTACGTACCGCTATATTTTCAGAGGCTGAAATTTTGTATGTGGGTTCGTTTTATGTTGTAGATGTGCAATAAGGAAGGATTTTTCAATTTTCCAACTGTGGCTCCCCCTGGGGATAAAAGGGGCGCGTTTACATATGAAAATGACCTTTTCATCACTATTTCTCGGTATCGCTATATTTGCGGAGGCTGAAATTTTGTATGTGAGTTCGTTTTATGTTGTAGATGTACAATAAGGGTGAATTTTCCAATTTTCCAACTGGCGCCCCCTGAGGATAAAAGGGGTGCATTTACATATGAAAATGACCTTTCCATCACTATGTCTCGGTATCGCTATATTTTCGGAGGCTGAAATTTTGTATATGGGTTCGTTTTATGTTGAACATGTGCAATAAGGAAGGATTTTTCTATTTCCCAACTGGGGAGCCACTTGGGGATGAAAGGGGCGCGTTTACATATGAAAATGACCTTTCTATCACTATTTCTCCGTACCGCTATATTTTCGGAGGCTGAAATTTTGTATGTAGATTTGTTTTATATTGTAGGTGAGCAATAAGAAAGGATTTTTTAATTTCCCAATAGGAGAGCCCTCCTGGGGATAAAAGGGGCGCGTTTACATATGAAAATGACATTTTCGTCACTATTCGTCGGTATCGCTATATTTTCGGAGGCTGAAATTTTGTATGTGGGTTCGTTTTATGTTGTAGATGTGCAATAAAGAAGGATTCTTCAATTTTCCAACTGGGGCGCACTCCTTAGGAAAAAATAGGCGCGTTTACATATGAAAATGACTGTTTCATCACTATTTCTCCGTACCGCTATATTTTCGGAAGCTGAAATTTTGTATGTAGGTCCGTTTCATGTTGTAGATTTGCAATAAGAAAAGATTTTCAAATATTAAACGTTGTTCTTGCTAATCATGAAGTCAGTTCTGTGTTGATTAGGTACCATTTCGCAACATAATCAATTCAAATTGGTATTTCCATATTGTTTATTGAAGTTTTGAAATATAACAACAAAATGAACCCTGTAATTGCCGTTTCACAACTACTGATAATTATCCTTTGACCTATTTAATCTACGATATATTTTTACGAATTTCCTCACCACATATTTGTTTCCATTTCAATTTTGATACTGAATTTGTATATAGAAGATTTCTACTTAATTGAAATGGAGAAATGTACAAAATTTATTGGAACTCATTTTCAAACTCTGAACTGAATTTTTACACTGATTTCAACGAATTGTGCTGTTCACTCGATTAAACATAAGTATTTCGCTTTCTAAAGTTTGAAATTCAATTTTGTTAACCAAATTGTATTCGTTTGAAAATTTACTGTCTCAAACAAATGTATTTCTAACAATATTTCACTATCACAAACTAATTTATTTACAACACTTCGCACTTGATTTATTTCCTCTATTTGAATTCCTTGTTTAACCGCTCGATTCACTTTCTGAATTCTACCCTCTCTGGACGAGTAGCCGGTCTTTTATATTGGTAACGATCTTTCTAGAATTCTATAGTCGTTAGATATAAACGAAAAAACATTTTCGAAATCTATCCATAAGTAGTCGTGGAAAATAACTGCCAAGTTTTTGTTGATGAAAACAGCTACTTTTCACGACGTCTACATATATTTGACGAACAATATCACAATAGATTAATTAAATGGAACATACGAAAATATATACTCATCCAAATCATTCATAATGAGATTATTAATACAAAAAATACAAACAATGGATTGAATTTTGTAGTCAATTTGACAAGAATTATCACACATTGTATTTCTATTACGAAAAAACAACGTTAAGTATTCAGAAAAAGACTCTGCTCTTTCAGCTTAAACATCTACATGCATCAATTGATTTCTCCAAACATCATTGAGCGCAGAATGTTGTCAGATTAGTTTTCAGTATTTTTATTTGATGAAATTCACAACAATTGTAAACCATATTGTAAAAACATATCACTCAATAATTGTCTTTCAAATATTCTATACAGATATCAAAAGCATATCTATCAACAAGGTTGAAAAATTACCCAGTTTCTCAAATACATCTCGGTATATGAAGCGTCCAATATAACATCAACATCGCTTCTAGTTACAATAATTTATATTTGCCATTAGTTCTACAACGCTCAAGAATTCAAATTGGTGATTTTTGAACATAGATGTAGACATATAAAAAGGGTGGCCCATTGAAAACAGACCAAACAGTCCAGTCCATATAATTTTCAATTAACCCCAACCTTCAAAAGATACGCGTACAAATTTCACAGCTATCGGACTATTAGTTTGTGGGATACAACATTTTGAGTGAAGCAAATTTCGTTAGTTTGAAGAAAATTGATAAAAAGGAACTTCGGGTGTTGATAAAGCATTGCTTTTGACGAAAAAATTGTGAATTTCCTTGTTGTCCTGGTGGAAAAATGAAAGACTATACGCTTCATTTTTCCGGACTAGGGAAAAAGTGCATTTCAATACAACTTTATAATTGTTATATTGATTTGTTCATCTTTTTATTAGTTTGCCTTGAATTGTTTATGACCCTGTAGATAACAAAACAAAATTTTTTGGATAGTTACTGATAATTTGTCAAAGAAAAAGTTAATAAAAGATTATGCCGACTGAATATAGGACTTATTGGGCATTTTCGAGTTTGATAATTATCGAGGAAAGAGCATTTGGTGACCCCGACGTGATCACGATATGGAGAAACGTACGTCCAAGCGAGAAAGTGCAGGTCTGAATCAAAGTCTGGGTAAATTTTCGTTTTGTGGACACCCGGCGATTTTGAAAAAATTTTTGACTGTACTTACGTATTTTGATGCGTAGATTACGAATCCGAAAGAAAAAAGCGGCGCTCTCCCTTATTTAAAAAGTTACGGCCCTTCAAAGTTCAGAAAAGGGCAACTTTTCAGCCTTCTTTTTCACTAAATAAACTATTTAAAAACACAAGCATTTATTCACTAGGTCACCTTTACACCTTANATCAAGCAGTAATATCGATAATTCTGTCAAATACAGATCCCGAGCTCGAGAGTTACAAGCAAACAAACAAACAAACATACATATATACAGGTGAAGCTAATGAAAGCTTGTTAATTAAAGAAAAAAGATAAAGTACGAAGCTTTGAACCTTCCACTCCTTCACTGATATTTTTCTGTAATACTAAAGACACATTTCGATGTTGAAGTTTGAAAGTACCATTCCTATTAGGATTTCCAAGATAAACAAAAAAATATAAAAAAAAATAAGGACAAGTACATCAGTTGCTGAAAAATTCAATTCTTGTATTCTCATTCAAAAACTGAGCAAACATCGTCCTTCGCTTCTCGAAACATCAAGTTGATGGAAAATATTTCAAAAGTTTACCTCATTTTGCTGTCACATTGATTTCGGAGCCAATTTGAAAGGAAATGGTCATTTGTATTTATCCGGTTCAACTGAAATAAGTTTTCTATTATTTTTCCGTTAAAAATATCTGTTTTGTAGCCTAGAAACAACTGAACAGCTTTTTAACATTCATCGAATGTCCATGAAGGTCATTCTCAATCTTTGACAATCTCACAAAAAAAAAGATTTTCTGCCTATCACAGCTTTGCAATTTGTCATTTTTTGCACTTTTCCGTAGAGTGAAACTGGATTCTTCCATTTGTTAACGTTCCACACATATTTCCAACATTCATGCAAATATCTATTCTACTGAGTATGATATTAAAGGCATTTTACCAACCATATTTCATCATTTGATTTTCTTCTTCTCATCTTCTATAGTTGAGAAGAGAACAATTTTATCATCTACGAGGTTGGTTCCAGAAGTACCCGGCATGAACTAGAGATGGCGGTAGTTGTTTGAAAATTTATCTGCATAAGAAAGTACAGAATATATGAAGCACATGTTTCAAGTTTGAAGACGCTGCGTTGTTTAGTATTTGTTTGGCAGCCATCAGTAGCGAACGTTTTCGCTCAATCGGTTACGGTTACACCTCAGCCCAACCATTATAAAAGCTGAACTGGATTCTACTCTGGGTGAGTCTGCTCCTTCGTTTACAGCAGTAAAATATTGGGTAGCACCGTTTAAACGAGGCTGTACGAGCTGCCAAGACGAGCATCGCGGTGATCGACCAAATGAGGTGACGACTCCAGAGACGTTGAAGGAAATCCACAAAGCGGTATTGAATGACCGTCGACTGAAAGTACGCAAGCTAGCAGGCTTAGTAGGCATTTAAAAAAATGCGGTACATCGTATATTTTCAGAAAATTTGGACATGAGAAAGCTGTGTGCAAGATGGATGCCGCGTTTGCTCGTTTCATAACCATGGATTGCGCACGGCTTGTGTGAACCTCGAAGTAGGAATGGGTCAATTGAGGCTGAGCCTATGGCGAGAAGCGCTTACTGCGCAACCTCTGCTGCAGGCAACCAGGGATGTAATTGAACCCAGGTTTGTGTTCAATAAACCCTACAAAATACAAATAAAACAGAACACAGTCAGATGCTACAAATGCAATACGCATATATACAGACGGCTCAGATGTGGAGTGTACTCCAGATCACTAAGCCTAAGGATTAAGTGGGGAATGGGAAAATTACCAGAACTGGCTGGTATCTCAATCGCCACAAAAGAAATAACCAGGAACGGTATTTCTAACAAAAACATAACAATCTGCACTATCAGCAGACAAGCTTTATTAGTCTTGAACAGACAACGTGTTACCTCAGGGCTAGTACTAGAGTACCACCAAGATTTAGCCAAAGCTTCGGTAGATAATAACATTATCTGCATCCTATCGTGTGCAGCACGATAGGAGTAAAGATAATCGCACTGCCGACTCTTTAGCCAATGAAGCGGCTGGACTGAGAATTTTAGGACCCATTGGCACCTATGGCTTGGTAACTTCAACAATTGCGGAACTAGCCTGTACTGGTATAGCAAATAATGTGGAACAATAACAAATTGAGAAATAAACAATATTCTAATTAGAACACCTAATACGTACCAGGACAGCTCTTTTCGATGTATGCCGATCTTATGTTATTAAAACATTATGTAACATTGAGATAGGGAAGGATTACGACGAGGATCATGTAATTGAAACAAGGTAGATCAATTTGAGTTATTCTGAATAGAGGAAGTTTTTCTACGAAGTCGTTTCATTCCGTTCCTTATAAATGAACCTGAAGTGAGTTTATTACATGGCGATCCTGCCAGGATGATTCCAGGATTACCACGTATGTTATTAACGGGTAGATACTGAGAAATAGAGACGAGTTGCATTTGACATCTTCCAACATGGGATCCACAGAGAGTAAAGAAGAAGTAATCATAAGCCAAGCCGGGAACAGTGGTGGAGTTTCAGCTAGCAATGGGTTCTCCGTTTCCGAAGTNCTACCTCTTTTTTTGAACAGATTGCGTATACAAATGTGTATATTCAAATTACCAGTAAATAACTGTGACTGTGACTATGAATATTTTTTTTTCAGTGCTTTTGGTTTACTATTGAATTTGGTCTGTGCAAAGAAAACGGACAATTAAAAGCTTACGGAGCAGGACTCCTTTCAAGTTTCGGAGAGATTCAGTATGCTCTGGGAACTGAACCTGAAGTCAGGCCGTTTGAGCCAGCGAAAACAGCTTTGCAGAAGTACCCTATCACGGAATTCCAACCCGTTTATTATGTTGCCGAAAGTTTCGAGGACGCCAAAGAAAAGATGATGTAGGTTTTCCAATGAAATATCCCTATTTTTCACTCACTAGTTACTTAATTGTGAAATACTAACAGCAATTTTATTTACAGCAAATTTGCAGCCACTATTCCCAGAGATTTTGGGGTGAGGTACAATGCGTATACCCAAAGTATTGAAGTTTTGGACTCGAAACACCACATTCAGAGACTGGTCAACAACATAAACTCCGAGATATCGATATTGATAGATTCCCTCAAAAAGATATAACTGCTGACTTCTGTTACTACTGACTATAATTAGTATTATCGAATTGAAACGTGCTAATTGAAAATTGCCACATTTTTGACTATTCAAGTGTAGATAATTGTATTTATTGTTTTTATTGACTTCTACTGTGATATAATTGTAGGTAGATATTATAATATATAGGGTTTAACTCTGATTGCCAAAAACACTGTTCCAATAAATATTTGTTGAACATTCGAAAATTTCCATGATAACTTATTTCATTTCAAATAAAGTATTTCAAAAGAAAGAAATAATGTGTTATTTCATATCATCACCATTAGACCCCACATTAAAAAATTGTATAATACTATTACGTTAAAATAATATTTTTTGAACAAAAACAATGACTGGATAAAAGAAAAGATGAAAATTCGAGACATTTTTGTGGAAAACTGGCAAAAGCTGAATAATGATGAACTTGACAATGTCTTTGAACGAAAAATCAAATGAGCAGTTTGTATTGGAACACATCTTAACAAAATTTGGGTTTCAACTGATGAAAACATGATCTACTATGTTAGTCAGTTTTGAAAATGCGTTTTTTTTATTTCTTCAATTATCACCTGCTTATTAATCTTTTGTACAAAATTCCATTTTGTGTCTGAAAGTTACTTCTTTGCATTAAATACACATCTTTGTATAGAGATAAATATGGGAATGATCAAAAAGTACTTATCTATTTACTTTTTGATTGTCATGGAATTATTTTCCAGCAGCTTGACTGCATTAACCTTTCTAGATTATNTAGGATAGGTGATAAGATATTAGTAAGGAACACATCTTCAAATAAGTATGATCCTATCTTCAAAGGTCCTTATATTATAGTAGAAGATAAAGATCCAAATGTTGTAGTTAGAATAGATAATAAGCTGGTAGAAATACACAAAAATAGGACAAAATTGTTTATTGAATGAAAAAAAAAAAAATATTGTTTAAAATTTTTTTTTTCGTCATCGGGGGGAGATGTACTGGTATAGCAAATAATGTGGAACAATAACAAATTGAGAAATAAACAATATTCTAATTAGAACACCTAATACGTGCCAGGACAGCTCTTTTCGATGTATGCCGATCTTATGTTATTAAAACATTATGTAACATTGAGATAGGGAAGGATTACGACGAGGATCATGTAATTGAAACAAGGTAGATCAATTTGAGTTATTCTGAATAGAGGAAGTTTTTCTACGAAGTCGTTTCATTCCGTTCCTTATAAATGAACCTGAAGTGAGTTTATTACAAGCCAAACGTTACACCCATGCTCAATCCCTAAAGAGACGGGATGGGATCAAAGGATGCAATCTTGCCAGGATCACCCTTGGCGACCCTGGGAAGCTGGCGCCAAAGAAATATCTTAGTTGACTGGCCTCTGTCAACTAAGGTAACACCTCCATAATATGGGGCAAGTGGATACACCATTATGCAGGATGTATGAACAGGAAGATGAAACTGTTAGGCATGTCCTATGCGAGTGTCCGGAGTTATCGTCAATGAGAGAGTGTGTGTTCGGCGAGTCTTGGCCTACACCTGCCGATATAAAGGATATGTCTCCCAGAGACCTGTCCGGAGTTATCGTCAATGAGAGAGTGTGTTCGGCGAGTATTGGCCTACACCTGTCGATATAAAGGATATGTCTCCCAGAGACCTGTCCACCTTCCTGGAAAGGACAAGATGAACGATGACCTAGGAGGACAACTCCTTGGGATGATGTACAATGGGTCACATGTGGCCTAAGAGCTGTGGGGTTTCATTCACCCTCCCTACTCTACATATACAGAACCATGGATGAAAAATGGGTCTATCAAAGTGGACTCAAAAGTGATAACAGGCCTCAAAGAAGGCGAGGACCAATTCATCTGCAGGCAAGCTCATGGCATCGGTTTTTTAGGATGCGCGTGGAATAATTTTCATTGACTATCTTAAAAAATTTGAAACTATCATCGGCGAGTATCATACAAACTTATTGCAACGTTTGAGTGAAGAAATTAACCAAACACTGCCGCATTTGGCCAAGAAAGAACTGTTGTTTCATCAAGACAGTGCACCAGCTCACAAATAAATAATTGCAATGACCATAATCCACGAATTAAAGTTTGAATTGCTACCTGATGCACCCTATTCGTCAGCTTTAGTCCTATCGGATTATTTTCTGTTCCCAAACTTGAAGAAATGGCTCAGTGGTCAAATATTTTCGAACGGTGAAGAAGTGATGGCAGTTAATGGCTATTTTGATGAGCAAGTCAGTTCTTATCATAAAAACAGCATCGTAAGTATTGAACGTCGCTGGGAAATGTGTATAGAGCTGCCAGAAGACTATGTTAAAAAATGAATAATTTTTTTCCAAAA